CAAAATACTGTAGAAAGTTGCTTGCTGCTGAAACTTGCTGCGAAAATTTGCTTCAAAAAAAGTTTTGCGGCTCGTTCAGTTGGATTTTTAAAGTTGAAATAAGGGTTTCAATTCCTTCAAAAGCCTGCTACAACCTCACCCTATTTTTTAAAAAAAATTGGTAGTTGCAATACTGCTTCAAAATCATTTTAATGAAGCCTTGTCCGCAAAATTATGTTCGCAAATATTTTATTATTACCTTCTTTCCGCCAAAAAATATATTTTTCATAGTTTTTTTGTTGCTTTTTTCAACAAAAGTACAGCTCAAAAATATGTGACCACCCAGCTAATGTCCGTCCATTTTTTTTCTTTTTCGTCCATTCTCTCAAAAATATATTTTTTTTCTTCCTTCTTTTCTCTCTCAATTCGCCCGTTCGTTTATTCCCCTCAATTTTTAGTAAAACTAAGGGGAAAATGAGAGAGAAAACTGGCCAATACTTTTGTGCACATTTTTCTCATCTACTAAATAATGCGCCAACCGGCTGTCATGTGTGTGTGCATGTTTTATACTTTTAACATCCCCCCCCCCTCCACCAAAATTTCTATATCTTTTTTGAGAACAAAATTTACCACACACTTCCTTTCATCTTTTAAAGCGAAGAGGCGGAAGAGAAGAGAAGGAAGGGTCCGTTATATATATAGCGCCCAATGTCCACTCATTCTATGTTCTCATGTTCCAGTGAATGAATGTTCCTCTTATCTCTCTCACACTTTTTCACTAAAATTCTTTACTTTTTTTTCACTTCCTCCTTCCTTTCTTCCGTAATCGTACATTTGTACTTTTACTTACCCTGTGGCCATAAATCGAGAGACTTGAGATATTTTCGAGAGTATTTTTACTCTTTTTTTGGAGTTGGAAAAAATTAATGTGATGTTGGACGTTATATAACAGTGGTGTGCCGTTTCGCCTTTCGTCTTTGGCTTTTTAAAACCTGTTTCGGCACACCCCGGATACATATATACTTATGTAATTTAGAGAGAGAAGGAAGGGTCCTATAAATTCTGATTGGACGTATTGTAGTTGAGCCGCCTCTTATCCCTTCTCATTTTGATTCCTAGAAAAAACCATGTCCATGTCTCTTAAAAGATCCTTTGGAATTTTGGGCAAATACCTAAGGAAGTAACTTGTAGCTGGCAGCAATGAGCAACAATTCAAAATAATTTTAGCTATTCTTGACTGAATTTCAACCTTCTATTTTTTAACTTTTCTTTCCCCTTAGGTCCTTTCAGCTGTAATTATTCCTTCCTGCTCATATTGAATTCCCCCTCATTTTTAAATATTTTTTTTTAGATTTTCTTTCTCTACTCTCGACAAATGCCCCCCTTTCCGTCCATTTTCATTTTTATATTCTTTTTTCTCGGGTCCATTTTTCCTTTTTCATCGTCCATTCCTTTTTACTCATTTCCACCCTCCTTCCCGTCCACAATTTTATTTCATTGCTGCCAGCTACCCCCCCCTCCCCCTCTCCCTTCCCCATTTTTACTCACACACACTTGCAGCTTTACATTCCCTTTTTCATTCTTTTTTTACTTTTAGCCGTCCATTCCCTTTTTTCCATTCGGCCATTCATCAGAATGAGGCCAATTTTTATTTAAAAGTACAAGTTGTAAAGAGCGGCAATGCGTGATTTGTATTTTTATACATATGTTTGGAGTGTACATATGTTATATTATAAATGTTTCCGATCACATTTTAAATTTTAGAAAGGAAAAAAGTTTTATAGAGGATTAGCTTAAATTAATAATATCCCCCTCTAAAAAAATCCTGGCTCCAGGCCTGTATCAGTGGATTGAAGCTGGGCTAATAGGGTCCATTTGCCTTACACAAATCATGATCCATTTGCCTTTCATGTAGCGTTGATAATTCTGAACATAACCGAAGTAAAGCAGCTACAATTGCTAAAACAGAAGATAAAATACCCCCTTCGAAGTAGGGGACGGTCCAATGTACAAAACGGCACACGGACACTCCAAAATTTTGCCCCCTGCACGAAGGCAGGGGACGGTCTAAAATTTATGCCCCCTGCACGAAGGCAGGGGACGGTCTAAAATTTATGCCCCCTGCACGAAGGCAGGGGACGGTCCAAAATTTATGCCCCCTGCACGAAGGCAGGGGACGGTCCAAAATTTGTGCCCCCTGCACGAAGGCAGGGGGACTTGGGTTGCCCCCTGCACGAAGGCAGGGGGACTTGGGTTGCCCCCTGCACGAAGGCAGGGGGACTTGAGTTGCCCCCTGCACGAAGGCAGGGGGACTTGAGTTGCCCCCTGCACGAAGGCAGGGGGACTTGAGTTGCCCCCTGCACGAAGGCAGGGGGACTTGGGTTGCCCCCTGCACGAAGGCAGGGGGACTTGAGTTGCCCCCTGCACGAAGGCAGGGGGACTTGAGTTGCCCCCTGCACGAAGGCAGGGGGACTTGGGTTGCCCCCTGCACGAAGGCAGGGGGACTTGGGTTGCCCCCTGCACGAAGGCAGGGGGACTTGAGTTGCCCCCTGCACGAAGGCAGGGGGACTTGAGTTGCCCCCTGCACAAAGGCAGGGGGACTTGAGTTGCCCCCTGCACGAAGGCAGGGGGACTTGGGTTGCTCCCTGCACGAAGGCAGGGGGACTTGAGTTGCCCCCTGCACGAAGGCAGGGGGACTTGAGTTGCCCCCTGCACGAAGGCAGGGGGACTTGAGTTGCCCCCTGCACGAAGGCAGGGGGACTTGAGTTGCCCCCTGCACGAAGGCAGGGGGACTTGGGTTGCCCCCTGCACGAAGGCAGGGGGACTTGAGTTGCCCCCTGCACGAAGGCAGGGGGACTTGAGTTGCCCCCTGCACGAAGGCAGGGGGACTTGATTGCCAAATGCTTAAGCACTTGGTCTTTATGGGGCGCCCAAGATTTTACAATTTATTTTAAAATAATTAATTTTGAAAAATAACAAATTTTAGACGGTTCATACAGGAGTGTAGAGAACACTAATTATTTGTCCATTTATTAATTATTTTCGCTTCTCTGTCTCTTTTATAGTTTTTGTCTTTTTTTCTTTTTTCATTTCTCTTTTCTTTCTCTTCATTTCTTTTTATTCAATACAAAAATGACTACTCGCATAAAACGATATATCTAAAACAAAATTTTTTTAAAATGGTCAATAAGGAAATATTTTTAAATCGTCGAAGGGATGATTTCAAGCTTCTTCTATTTTAATTTTTTTTAAACTTTCTTGGTTTGTGTTACTTGTTTTGTTGTTTCTTTGTTTATCTTTTGTGTTGATTTCGTTTTTTATCAAAACTGACCGATGTTCTTTAAACATTTAATCATGTATATTCTACATTATTGGGAACATCTGAGAGGAGATCGACTTAATCAAGAGGAGGTCAACCTAATCCAATAATGGAAGAACAGTGAGCCTTTATTGGGCATCATTGTGGGGGTCAACTTATATTGTTGAATTGGCTGGACCTTGGGGCAAAACTGTAGCTCTTGCTGCTTATGGATTCCATTTTGGTTTTCATTTTTTTTCGAGAGTATTAAGTAGGAACGCAAATAACCCATCCAAAATATCCACTTAATATCTCCAATCACCTACCTTATATTCCCAGATTACCCCTTATATCCTCAGATTATATCCTCAGTTTTATCTTTTTTTAACAATTTTTTACAACATCTTTTTTACAATTTATATACAAATTCCATCCATTTTATTATAATTTAATTTTATTTTCCCCAATATCGTTAACCTCTCCCTTTCCAAAAATTTTCACTTTACTTTCATTGTCAGATTTTTTATCCCCGACACACCAATTTACGTTTCCCCTTCCCCCCTTGCAAAAGTTTCTGCACACCCCCAGCAGTTTTAACAGCTAAAAATATACTAAAAATGTTTGCATTTCTGCCCACCCACACAGCTGTTTGGCGAGAGACCATCGGTCATTTTGAAGACTTGACAGTCTCTCATTTCTATTCCGTCCAGCCAGCGGACGCTGCCAGCCACTGAAAACTGACCTTTTTCAAAAGAAAAAAGAAGGGAAAAATTGTGCAATTTCCTCTCCCTTCTATTAAAAGTTTCTTTTTCTGCCCGTTGAAATTTTTATATATTTTCTCTTTTATTGCAATCATTTTCTTGAATTTTGTGCAATTCTCGTTCTTTAAATTTTTGGTGGAATTTTTTTTTGTCAAAAATTTTCTTTTATTTTTGTATTTTTATTTTATTATTTTTTCTTATTATAATGGAAAATTCTGATTTCGAGTTAATCTGAATTCTTAGTGACATCCGGATATATTCTTGACAACCACTTTCGGTTTCATGTTGAAACATTCAAGGTTTCGTGTTTCGAATAACCCTACCGATGGGTAAGGGTAGCTTGAACCTTTAGACATTATTTTATTTTTACTTATGGTAATACGGAGGTGATTTTCACACCCAAGTGTGATATTTTCAGATCCAAGTGCGATTTTTGAAAATAGTCCTAGTTTCGAGTTTCGGGTACCCCTAACACCTACATGGCCTGAACTAGAGAATATTTTATTTTTAAATTATTAAAATATAATACAAAGTTGTTTCTACCTAGCAGGGAGAAGTTTGACTATTAAAATTCCATCCAGTATTCATAATGAAAATTCCAAAGAATCCTTAAAATCCAAAAAAATCCAAAAAAAACCTCAAAAATTCCCGTACTCTAAAATCCACATTTTTGTCATTATTCCGTGAGAACAGACACAAGTACACATTTATATATTCTTTATTCTCCCCCATATATTTAACTGACAGCCGAGCGCTTATGTAATTTGAGAGAGTGACCGGTCAGTCGACTTAAAACTAGAAGAGAGTGGGAAATTTTAAAAGAAAAAAAGAAGGGCTTTTTTCAAGTGAAATGTGTGTACTTTTAGCCTTTGTGTGTATGTCTCAATTCGTCATCCTTTCCGGCAAAAATTCTTTTCGGACGTCCATTGCAGTGAGTGTCCCTCTCAGAGTTTGTGCGTAGGGGTGGAAGGGACACTCCATCTACTATGTAATCTTTCTTCTTTCTTCTCTTCCGTTTTTTACTTCATTCACTCTTCATTCTCTTCCTTCCCTTCATTCTCTTCATTTTATTCATTCCCTTCCTTCTCTTAATATTCTTCATTCTCGTCCTCCTTCCCTTCCTTACCTTCTTCTCTTCTTCTTCATTATCCTCCTTTCCTTCTTCTCTTCTTTACCTCCATTCGCTTACATCCCGTCATTCTCTTCATTCTTTTTCTCTTCTTTTTCTCTCACTTCCCTCTCTCTCTCTCCTCCCTCCTTATTCTCTTCTTTACCTCCATTCACTTCCTTCCCGTCCTTCTTTACATTCTCTCCATTCCATTCCTCCTCACCATTCTCTCCCTCTCTTCCTTCTTTCTCTTCCTTCCTTCTCTTCATCCATTCGTCCATCTAAATCTCCTTCCTTTCTACTCTTCAATCTTTTTTTCATTCATTCATTTTATTTTAGTTGGACACGTTTACGTCATTTAATCTGTCCTCCATCCATTCTCCCGAAATTGACTCATTTTTAACTCTCGGACATCTAAATTTGCTTTTTAACTTTTTTTCCTTTTCATTTTCACAAATTCACTTCTTTTTTCCTTCCATTTCCGACTGGCTCTTTCTCAAATATTTGCTGTGTGGTCGGTTACTCCAGCTGTTACTAAATATGGTTCCGTGACTTTTGCGCCGTGAACATTTGCGCCGCGACTTTTGCGCCGCGAATTTTGCGCCGCGACTTTTGCGCCGAGCGACTTTTGCGCCGGGGGACTTTTGCGCCGAGACTTATGCGCCGGGCGACTTTTGCGCCGCGACTTTTGCGCCGGACGACTTTTGCGCCGCACTATTATTAATAATTATAAAAAACTACATCGGGCCTCACTATAGAAAGGCCGAATTCGGCTATCCGGCCTTTTTCAGATCCGGATATCTGGACCCGACAACCTTAACTATAGTGCGAATTTTGCATCTTTTCTGCCAAATCTCTTCTGGCAGAAAATCATGCTTGAATAGGGGTAGCAGACCAAATATCCTGATCCGAAAAAGTCAAGTTCTTTGAAGATGACACCTCTAGGGGGTCTGTTTATTAGAAGGGGCTATTGTACTTCCTGAAATATTGTACTTCCTGAAATTCCTTCAGTTCCTGGACGCCATTTTTTAAGACTTACACTATAATTATGTTCGACTGTAGATATTATTTTTTATAATTATTGCGGCGCAAATGTCGCGGCGCATAAGTCGCCCGGCGCAAAAGTCGCGGCGCACAAGTCGCCCGGCGCAAAAGTCGCGGCGCATAAGTCGCGGCGCAAAAGTCGCCCGGCGCATAAGTCGCGGCGCAAAAGTCGCGGCGCAAATGTTCTCGGCGCAAAAGTCGTGATACCCTAAATATAGTTTTCTTGGTAAACGTTGAAAAAGAGAGATTTTCTATACTTTAAATGTCCATCAGAAAAATTTTTTTCATTCTTTATCCTTCCACTCTTTGTATTTTCCCTTTCAAATTTAAAAAAGAAGAGGAGGAACAATAGAAAGGAAGACTTTAAAATTTTTGAAGAAAACGAAAAAAGTGGGGGAAGGGGATACTTGGATTTAAAATATTTTGGAGTTTACCTGGAAATTTGTGAATATAAAGTCTAAAGAGACGTCTAGTGAAGATTTAAAATTGAGATCGACTAGAATTAGAAAGTCGAAAAATTAATTGGTTAATTTTTCCAAGTCGAGGAATTTAAGAATGTCTCTGGTCTTTACTAGAGCTGAAATTTTTGAAAAGTCAGGGCCTGTTCCTGGGTTCCGGGTTTGATTTATTGACCTGGGCCGGATCCTGGGCCTGTAATCCAGGAAAAACCCAGGCCCAGGAAAAATTCAGGAAGGTCAAAAAATGCCTGGACCTGGACTCTGTGTACAGCAAAAACCTAGGCCTTGGTCCAGACCCATCTCGCTCTAAAAATATTAGAGGAAAAATAAATTTAAAAATTCGAAATATTGAAAAGGACAACTATTACACCTCGGAATAAAAAAAAATAAAAGTACACAAATTTTTTCAGTAAAAATAAAATTTAAAGGACAGCTGACCAATGGCTATTAACATCCTTTTTTAATTAAGAAAAATTTTTGTTCATTAAATTAAGTGAAATTCTCTATCCATCACTTGGTATCTTGTAATTTATATTTTTTTTATTTTTTTTTAATCAGCCGGAAGACCTGTGGCCTACCTGGCACCTTTCTGAAGACCTTAAACCTTCCCTATATTTAATATTTTGTCAAAAAATAATTTTCAAAAAATTTTTTTAATCCAAAAATTTATAGAAAATTAAAGTATATTCATTAGAAAAATACTTAAAAAAATAATCAGCAAATATTTGTTCGTTCAATTTTAGCAAATCAAAGGTGCTGCCCCAGGCGGCAGCAATTCTAGTACCGTTAATAATGCAGCTTTCCAACAAAAACAAATAATTTTGAAAAAACAAAAAAATAATTGTTTAATTCAAAAAGAGGAGGAAGACCAAGTTTTGATTAAAAATACAGCAAATAATTTATTACAATTACAAAAGCAACAAAAACTAATGCAATCGCAACCTTCTGGTGTAGCTTCTGATGGGAATAATAATAGTTCGGGTCTGATTTTGTATTGATACTGAACAGAGGTGGGTCGGAACAGTCCTAGGTGTCGGAAATCGGAAGAGACGGAAATCGGAACTTGCTAAAAGTCGGAACTCGTAAATCGGAAATCACAGTTTTTTCGTAAATCGGAAGAAAAAAACGCCGGAAACCGGAATTCCGACCCACGTTTGATACAGATAAAGTATTGTTGATATAGGAGTATTAGAAGGATATAAGGCTGATAAAAACGTTACTGATAGAGTTAATGATAGGGCATTACTGATAAGAGTGTTACGGATTGATAAGCGCTACTGATAAATAATTAGAAGAGTTACTGACTGATTTTTACTTCAAAAACTGACAAAAAATGTTTAAAAATTTCTAGGCGATAATCATCTACAATCTCCAATTGAATCTAAACTTGAACAACAACGTCCACAAACTTCAGAAACCAATTTCCCCAATAGACGGCCTACTCAAGCTGAACCTACGGGGAATGGCACACAGACTTGTTCAAATTCTGTAGCAGAAGGAGGAACGGGGCCGTGTGGAGGTTGTGTGGAGTTGAGACGGTGAGGAAATATTTTTTAAATTAAAAATTCTGATTTTCTAAAAATAAATTCTGATTTTATTTCTGATTTTTTTCAGAATATTCTGATTTTATTTTCTGATTTTTTTTCAGAATATTCTGATTTTATTTTCTGATTTTTTTTCAGAATATTCTGATTTTATTTTCTGATTTTTTTCAGAATATTCTGATTTTATTTTCTGATTTTTTTCAGAATATTCTGATTTTATTTTCTGATTTTATTCAGAAATTCTGATTTTATTTTCTGATTTTTTAAAAATAAATTCTGATTTTATTTTCTGATTTTTTAAAAATAAATTCTGATTTTATTTTTTACAAATCAGAAATAAAAATTCTATTTTTACAACCAAAACACGTTTAAAAATATTTACCTAGTATTATTCTTTAATCTTATTAAAACACAAAAATTAGCTACAGATTAAGCTTAAAATTCTCGAAATTAAATTGTCACGCATTTAATATGTCACGCATTTTAATATATTTTTAAAGGTTAAAATAATTTAGCTTTTTTAATAAAATATTATTTTTTTTCTTTTATTTTTTCAAGGTATACACAATTATTTTTTAATTTATTTTTTTCTTTTATTTTCCTCTAAAAATGGTAAAAATACACCCAAGTTTAGAACCTATCTTAATCAACACTTTTTAATGTCAGAAATACAAAAGGAAAAAAACTTAATTAAATAAACTTGTTTTTAGCAAGGTGCAGCTTGCTTGAGTTTGTAAAAACTTGTAAACTTTTTTAAGTTTTCTTAAGTTTGTGAAAAAAATTTTTTTAATAGAAAAATAATTTTTTGCAATTCAAACAAAAATATGTATAATAAAACTTTAAATATCATAAACGGCAAAATTAAAAATAAATAAAACACATTAATTAATAAAAAAGATTTGTAGCAAAAAAATTTGCTTTTTAAGAAAACTTCACACGCTTTTAAATAAATTATTATAATAATTTTTCCGGTATTGAACTTTATATTAGCAGAATAATAATTGCAAACTTACTCAAGTTTATTATAAATTGTAAGCTTGAGAAAACAAACTTGAGAATTAATAAAGTTGTTTTTAATTTGATTTTACAATTACAAACTTGTTTGTAAAACTTGTTTTGCAACTTTGTTACAAACTTGTTTAAAAAACCTTGCTACAAACATGTTTTTACAACTTGCTTGCAAACTTGTTTTACAAATTGCTTTAAACTTTTTTTACAAACATGTTTATGCAAAACATGTTTTACAAGCTTGTTTTTATTTTGTTTTTACAATTACAAACGTTTGTAAAACTTGTTTTGTAAAACTTTGTTAAAAACATGTTTAGAAAAATTTGTCATAAACTTGTTTTTACAAACTTGTTTTTGCAAAACTTGTTTTTACAATATCCTATATTTATTTAATATTTTTGTAATTGTAAAAACTTGTGTTTCGTATTGAGTTCAACAAAAGCTTAATTTAGAACAAAAAAGCTTATATTTATTTAATTATTAAATGAACCTTTTTAGCAAGGCTATTTTTATTTTTATTAAATTAGTTTTTAATTCCTAATAATGTCAAAGCTCAGAATTTTTATATTTTTATTTTTACTCTATTTTTATTTTTTAGTGAAGTCGAAGAACTACGCCAAATGCTCTTCCAAATGCAAAACGAAAGCTCTGCTTTCTCCCCAACATCAGCTGCAAGTCGTTTTCGTCAACAACATCCACAACATATACAAAAACCCCAAAGTCCTCCTTCACCTCCACATCCTTCTATTCCTCAAGTGATTAAAAATTAATTAAATAATTTAATTTAAAAAATTTTAGCCAGTACTACAACAAACATTTCAGTCAACAACAAATCAACAATTAAGACAAGCTTTGCTTTTACAAAACCAGGCTGCAATTAATAATAGCAATTCTCAGGGCCAGGCTCAACAACAATTTCAACACTCAGGAAACGCAAACAATTGTAATTAATAAATAAATTCTGGAATTACAAATATTAAAATTCTGATTAATATTTTAACAAAACATTTTACAATTAATTTTTACAAATTCTGAAATTAGAATTTTGATTTGTAAAAAAATTTACAAATTCTGATTTGTAAAAAATTACAAATTCTGAAAATTACAAATTCTGTTTTGTAAAAAAAATGCAGAATAAGTAAAAATTACAAATTCTGATAAGCGAAAATTACAAATTCTGATACGTAAAAATTACAAATTCTGATTTGTAAAAAATTACAAATTCTGATTCTGAAGTTATTTAAAACATAGAAAATAATTTACAAATTCTGATCCTAATTTTTAATTTTAATTATTAATAAATTCAGATAATTCGCATGTGCTCCAACTTTTTCTCTCTCAAGCATCAGCAAACCAACAGCATCATTCTCAGCATTCTCAAAATTTATCTCACCCTCCAGTGCCGGTTTTTTTCAAATAATTTCTTAAAATTTTATTTTTAAAGATGAGTTCCGCTTCCTCCTCCTCAACATCCGCTACCAATCCAGCAACAGCCCCAGGCGTTAATCGAATACTTGAACAAATTGGACAGCAACTTGATATTGCTACACTACAAGGGAATGGAAGCAATCCATCAAATGCCCAACAAAGCACAGAAAAGCAGCAACAACAACTTTTAGTTTCCACAATTCAGATGCTCCAACAAGCTGCACAAATTCAACAAATTAATGGGCAAGCATCGCAGCAGCAAGGAAGTGGGGCTAGTACTCGGAATAATAGTATTCAGAGTGGAGGTGTGAAAATAAATGATTAGAATGATAATAGTAATTTAATTTTTTTAAGAATCAGTCTTTTACGATCCCTCAAATATGGATGTTAGTGAAACATCCTCATCTTCTTCCTCTACAAATGCACAGGTGTAGATTTAAATTTATTTTTTGTCTGAAAATAAATATTACAATTATTTTATAAAACTTGAAATATTAATTTATAGTTGTAAAACTTGAATTAGTAAAACTTGAATTTAGAAAACTTGAATTAGTAAAACTTGAATTTGTAAAACTTGAATTAGTAAAACTTGAATTTGTAAAACTTGAATTTGTAAAACTTGAATTTGTAAAACTTGAATTTGTAAAACTTGAATTTGTAAAACTTGAAATTATAAAACTTGAATTTGTAAAACTTGAATTTGTAAAACTTGAATTTTTAAAAACTTGAAATTTAAAACTTGAATTTGTAAAACCTGAATTTGTAAAACTTCCAAGTTTAATTTACAATTTTTAAAATTCCAACTTGTTTTTTACAATTTGTAATAAATTAAGGTTATGCTGCAAACTTCACCACAATTACTGTTAGACTCAAAACCCGCTGCTCTACTTCAACAATTGCAACATCAACAGCAACAAATAGTCAATGTAAATCAAATTCAACAACAACAACAACAACACCAACAGAATCAGCAACAACAGAACTTGCTAAACCCTAATAATCGAAATAATCAGTTGGATTTGATTAGCGCTGCAATTTCACGCACAAATGCTGCTGTAACCTCTCATTTACTCTCACCGGCACATGGAGGAGAAACTAATGTTATTCAACAACAGCAACAACAATGTACTGTAATTTTGAATAAAATTTTCAATTGTAAAAGTATTTTACAATTTCTGAAAATAATTACAATTGTATTTATATAACTTAAAACTTTTTTTTTACAAATTGTAAAACTTAACATTCGTGTTATTTACAAATTGTAAAACTTGAAACTTTTTTTTCTGCAAATTGTAAAACTTAAAAGCAAATTTATACAAATTGTAAAACTTAAAACTTTTTTTTATACAAATTGTAAAACTTGAAAATTATCTTTACATATTGTAAAACCTTAAATTTCAAGGCAATACTACCCTCTCTAATACTCCCATGGCCGCTAAATTAGCTACACTTCAAACTTTATTAGTCTCATTACAACAACAGCAACAACAACAACAACAATTAGCTTTACATCAACGTATACAACAACAGCAGCATCAAACAGCAGTTATTTCAAATGCCAAAAATCAGCAACATCACTTTGCTGCCCCAAATAAATTTGTTTTGCAGCAGTCACCAACACGTGATAATATTCCTTTATCGGTTTCTGCTGTAGCAGCACATCAGCAACAACAGCAGCATTTTACTCCTAGTAAAATTTTTTGGATTTATAATATTTTAATTTTTTCGAAATTTCGGAATTGTAAAACGTTAAGTAATGAAGGTTCTGTTTCGAAATGTAAGGAAAGCAAGCTCAGTCGGTAGAGCACAAGTACGTGATGAACATATGTATGCGCCTAGCAATAATTGTCAGGAGGTTGCAGGATTGATGCCTGCTAAGGGCTAAACGTTTACCTTTTTCTTACTGAACTTGTAAAAATCTCATTCCAGTTTATGAAAATTTAAAAAATTATTTTTACAATTTAAAATTAATTTTTTATGAGTAGGAAATCAACACCTCCTCCATCAACATCACCATTCTGCTCCAGCAGTTCCCGTTCCCTCCACCTTTACTCGAAATTTACCACAACACCAACATCCCCACCAAACCCCACAACAGCGTCATCACGATACCAACCACCACCAATTACTTCAACACCACCATTCTGCCCAACATGAACGTGTTGTTGTTGTAGAGCGACGTAGAGCAGCTAGCGATGATTATATTCAAAGTATATGCTCGCAAAAATATACAGAAGAGTATATTCAACAAATACAAATACCTGTACCTGAAGCACACGCTTGCGATCCAAGTTTTACAATTTGTAAAAAGTTTTTACAATCCCTAACCTGTTTTTAAAGATTTCCGCCCTCTTACTGAACAACAAGTTATCCAACAAGTTTTACAAAATAAAAAATATGAGAATCAAAGTGTTGCGGAAACAATGGCCCAGTTGTGTAAAAAGTTGGCAGAAAAGCGTGTTTTTGGTTCTCGTTTAATGTCTAAGACAACTGTAGCAGCTCCTAATCATTCGAGTTATAGTAATTTGCCGTTGCCGGGCATAATCTATATTTATTGTAATTTTTTCTGGGATTTGGATTTTTAATTTTTAATAAAATTTTTCTCTTAGATGTTTGCCAAAAAGTGCTTTTTAAACGTGTTGAAAAAGAGGAAGAATTTAAGGAGTGTTTTCGTGATGCAATGCGTAAATTGGCTGCTAGGTGATAAAAATTAATTTACTATACCATAAATGAGAGTTGGTCCCCTACCTGTCGGTCCCCTACCTCTAGAGCTTGTCCACTACTTTTTCATGGAACGGGGATGTCAGGGGAATAGACTGCCTGCGGAATCAGGGTCAGGGACCACTACCATAAACCCATTGTTTATAATATGTACTTCTAAGATGCCGTCGTGTTCGACATGCTCGAAAAAATCATAACTCCAGGCATGGTATTGCTGTTAATAGTGGAGGCTTAGATAACCCTTCGTTAATGTTAGGCAGCCAACCAACATCGGCATTTACTCAATTTAACAGCGGAATGTCAAGAAATAATTCTCATGGAACCGAGGATTCTATTTGTAATGCAGAAACAATAAATGCTTTAGTCGAATTAGCAAATAGACAACAACAATTCCATCAGCATCAACAACAGAAATTTTCATTAAATTCAGCTTTGGGGAATTTTGAGGTAATATTTATTTACAGAATTTATTAGTTAAGTAACAGAGCAGCATTCAGAATTTTCAAGTTTAATTTTCAAGTATGTAAAAGGGAATTGTAAAATTTCTAAAATTAAATATTCTGGTTTGTGAACTTAAAAATAAGTTTTACAATTTAATAATTCTGATTTTTAAATTTAATAATTCTGATTCTGATTTTTAATTATGTAAAATAGATATTTGTAAAATCAGAATATTTTGGGTTAATAATTCTGACTTTACAATTATAATCAGAATTGTAATTCTGACTTTTATTTTCGATGGATAATTCTGATTTTTAATTATATGATGTGTGTAAGTAATTATTCTGAATTGTAAAATCAGAATTTGTAAAAATCAGAATTTGTAAAATCAGAATATTATTATAAATTGTAAAAAATTTCTTTAGTTTTACAATTAATAATTCTGACTTTACAATTAATCAGAATTGTAATTCTGATTTTTAATTACAATTGTAAAATTATTTTCTTTTGTTAATTCTGATTTTTCATGGAATACTTAAAATTATTAATTCTGATTTTTTTAAAGAATACTCTCACTGCAACAGAATTGGCTTCTCGAATTTCCGACGTTGCTACTGGAAATGGTTGTAATCATTCTCCATTAGGAGCAACATTAGAGAATACTGTTTGCATTACTTCACAACCATCAAATGTGGAAAAGATGGAGGTGATTTTCTCGAATTAAATAAAATTCTTTCTGATATTAATTTAAGATATCTGAGGATAACGGTCTTTTAAAGGAGGAAATTAATGAGAGGGAATTAATGGATGAAGAATTATTGGACGAAGATTTGGGCTGTTGCCCTCTTTCTTCTCCTACAATATCTTCTCAATCGACTGGAGAGGCTTCAATTACACATCAACAAAGTCCTGGGGATGCGGACAGGGATAGTATTGATACAAATGATGTAAATTAAATTTTTTTTAAAATTCCTTAATTTAAGGAAAATTAATTTTTAAAAATTAATTTAAATAATTCTGATTTTTAATACTGAATTTAACGAGTTATATGTAGATTTCTGGTTTTTACTATTTCCTTTTTTGAGAATATTTCTGATTTGTAATTTAAATTACAAATACAGCAAAATTTCTGATCTCTAAAATTCTGGTTTTTACAAATTCTGATTTTTTACAATTTCTGATTTTTAAACTTTCTGATTTCTAAAATTCTGGTTTTTACAAATTCTGATTTTTTGGGTCTGATTTATAATTAAAATTCTGACTTTTTCAAATGATTCCTCTGGTTTTTATAATGATTTTTACAATTTCTAATTTTTAAAATTCTGATTTTACAATTCTTACTAATTTTTAAAATTAAATAGCAACAATCAGAAATATCCAAACCAACAACAATTGTAAATATCAAACAACAATTATCTCCAATAAATAATCAAAAAAATACTTCAAATAATTCTCTTTTGTCTTCTCAACCAATGGATGCTTCTTCATCTTCTCCTTGCTTTTAAATTATTAAAAAAAATTTTTTTCAATTTTCTCCCAACTTTTCGTAATTTATTCTTAATTAAAAAATACCCTTTCGCCTTCCCTTATTTAACAAAAAAAAATAATTCTTTTAAAAATTTCAAGTCCTCGTTTAAATATCCCTACCCAAACCTACCACAACATATATAGCTGTACATGTTTAATTATTATTAATTAATATTGTTTAAGCTTAAAAATATTTTTTAATTTCAATTTTTGAATTTTTAAACAGCTTAAACAATAATTTAAATTGTGTACTTTTATATATTTTAAATTGCCTAAATTTTGGCATATTTTGCTACAAAATTTAATTTTTTTTCAAATTTTTTTAGCTGCATGAATTAAATACCTCTTGATTTATATAAATTACATATATTTTTTTAATAATCCTACATATACAGTCGAACCTTGATTTTATATATACACTCCTAATTTAAATGACCTATTTTTCTGAATTTAGTTGGTCAATAGGTGTAGGGTGGAGCGATGCTACGTGTAGTCCCTAATAATACATACACTCCTTTAAGTAGAGATCGGACCGAGACCAAATCCCGATCAAAAATCTCGATTATCGTCATTGATATTAGCGACCAGAATAGGAGTGTGTGCGTGTGTACGATAATCGAGATCGAAGTCTCAATTACCGAGATTTTCGATCGAGATCTCGTTTCGATCCTGTCTCTAATCGATATTCTTCCAGATTTCGCTCAATTTTTAATTAATATACATAATTATTTAACCCCATGTGTGTATATGTAAAATCAAGAAACGACTTTCCCCCTAAAATATCAAAAAATAATTTAAAAATATCCTAAACCCCCTTAAATTCAATGAATTCCTCCCCGGTCCAGGTGTAAATAATCCCTTTCCTATTAATTCCATATTTAATTCCACACTATTAACTTCCATATTTATTCTTAATCCCTTAATATTTTGCTAAAAATTTTAATATTTCTACATATTTATATTTGTAAAAATAATAATTTTTTTCTATTTTTAAATACTCTATAAACACATTTCCTAATTTCAAATGCAGCGGCAATTCTCGTCATAACTTTTTATTCCTCTCAGGAAATTTGAAAATCATTTTTTGTTAATTTAGTTAAATCTCTCTCATAAATCCATTAATACATTTAAAGAATATTGAAGTCTTTTTTAAATTTTAAGTTTGAGCAAAGCAGCTGGGCTATAGCTATTTCTCTTCTTTAGCTAGTGCAATAGGTTATTCATCCTTAAGAACGAACCAGCATCTTCCAGTAGACCGGACTGATGTGTTATCCGTTACATCACACCGTGTACTGTATACCCTTAGGAAATTAATAGCTATATGCTTTACAAAAGCTTTAAACTTGCCTTAAATTTGCAGAATTTTAAGATCATACTTAAGTTTTTAAGTTTGTGATAAAGAGAGGTTTAATATTCTACATGTTTGCATTCCTTTAATTTTGTAAAATTAGCAAAATTAATTTCAATATTTTTCTTCTTCCATTAATATTTTTCTTCTTAATTACCACGTCTTTCAATACTTTTATAAAATTACATTCAAAAATATTTTTTAACGATTCTTTTATTTTAATAATGGGTTGGCAATAAGTTCTAGGATTTTCAATATTTATGGACAACCCATTATAAATGCCGATTTTTATTTTTATTTTTTTGACTTAAAAACGATTGTTTTTCTAAAATTGTTTTTTATACTTCATAGATAGCAGGGATAGAATGGGTTACCCTCAAAGCTCGGCACTTTCTTGCCCACACAAAATTTGAAACCCGATCCGAAGATAAATATGAACCCCAAAATCCAATCCAAAAACCCCTATCCTCCTAACCGATATTTTTTCCCTCAACCCTCCCTATCCCTGTTATTACATTGCACCTATACTTGCGCGCAAAAATCATACCACCTCAGGAAGTTTGAAACTTTATCTCGCCAGAAATTAAATTTTAATTAAATTTTGACCTTGCTTATATTCACATATTTTCTTTTAATTTTTACAATTTTCCTATTTCAAGTTTGTAAAATTGCAATTATTAAATATAATTGTAAAAGTCTAGAGAACCTCAGGGAATTAAAAATATCCTCACTATGTCAAAATTGAAATTTATGATGAAGAAGCAGAAGAAAGAGGAGAAGAAAATTATCACCCAAAATAATTTTTTTATAAAAATGTTTTTATTCTATTAATAAGCTTTTTTTCAAGAAATTGTTTCTATTGAAAAATACTCTAATTTTTATTTTAGTAAATTATTCTAAAGTTTAGATGCTTGTAAAAAAAGATAGCAAAATATTTAGAAAAGGGAATTTATTTGTTTTTAAAAATATTTCTGATTTGTAAAATTTAATATTCTGATTTGCGATTAGTATTCAAGTTTGTAATATTCAAGTTTATTAAGTGCACGTCTAGCAATATTCTGGTTTGTAAAACTTGATATTTTCTGATTTGCAGTCATTATTTAAGATCGTAATATTCAAGTTTGTGATTCAAGTTTATTAAAAAACTTGAATATTCTGGTTTGTAAAACTTGGAATTTCTGATTTTCTGAATATTCAAGTTTGTAATTCAAGTTTATTAAAACCACGTCTAGCAATATTCTGATTTGTAAAACTTGATGTTTTGCGATTTACAATTTATATTCAAGTTTGTTATATTCAAGTTTTGTAATTCAGGTTAATTTTGTAATATTCAAGCTTGAATTCAAATTTGTAATTCAAGTTGTAATTTAAGTTTATAAAACAATATTAAGTATTCTGATTTGTAAAACCTGATATTCTGAATTTTTTGATGTGTAATTCTGCCTTATCTTACTTTAATAGTTCGAACTTGCTTTGCTCACATGTAAATGAGTATGCTAGTTTGTAAACTTGAATATGCTTGTTTTAAATCAATTTTAAAAATTTCTTTTTATTTTGCTATCTTTTTTTTTTAAATTTAATTTTATCTTCGCTATTTTATTAAAATGCCTCCTCCCTTTTTTAACAAATAAAAATGTCTTTCAAAATTTTTTATTAATGAGATAATTATATTTTTAATAATTAACATTGTGTGTGGTTTTCTAATTTTATTTTTAAATAAAAAATTTTTTAATTAAAATTTGCTTTCTATGAATTTTTAAATTTATTTTTTATTTATGAAGGAATAAATTAGAGTAAAAATGAATATTTTAAAAATATTTTTTAAAAATTCTAATATTCTCTTATTTATTAAAATCCAGCTTGTTTAGAATTATGAACAATATAAGCGTATTTATGGTGGATCATTTGCATTTGGTCGGAGCCTGTAATTGCAGAATGATCACTTGGAGTGAGGGAACGGCTCTTTAAATAAATTTAAAAAATTATTTTGGAATTTAGAAATGTCTAGAAATATTTATAGAAATAATTAGAGTTCGACATTTTCGAATTTCTGGCCCGGTAGCAAGGGTTTTTTCTTTCATACAAGTCCGGATTTTCTGGGCTAAAATCCGGAACCTTGAAAACCCTGATTTTATCAAGATAGCCGGTCTCCGGGCTAATGGGCCCACTTCTGTCCTCCTGGCTTTGTGCCGAACTCTAAGAATAATATAATTATGTAAGAGCTCAACCTTTCGTCGATTTATGCCAACGCCAGGGATTGAAGGTATCGGAGGAGGAGTCGGTGCACGAATCACGATTTGACGCTTAAAAATTATTTAAATATTTAAATTTAATTATCAAAAATTTAAAATTACCCTTATACGATTAGACGAGGGTACGCGATCATTTACACTATCAACAATTGTTTCAGATTTTGAGCGGTATGGATAGGGCACAGGAATTCGAGGGACTGGAGGAGGCGTAGGCACACCAATATTTAGTAGTTGGCGCTTTTTTGGGGGGAAAAAATTAATTTTTATTCAAATTTTTAAATTTACCCTGAGGCGATGCACTTCCCCAGTGTGCACAACACCTCTGTACATGGCAGCAACGGGAACTCTAGGCTTTCGCTGGAGTCTTACTGGTCTTTAATTAAATTTTAAAAATTTCTAATTTAAAAATTTAAGAACCCATTCATCAACAAGGACTCTTTCATTTTAGTCTTGGACATGTTAGGCTTCCCATGGGTTCGATCAAATACAATATTTAATAAAAATAGAAAGTAAAATGAAATTATTATTAAAGAAAATTGTCTCATTTTTGTTTCTAATATTTTTTAAAAATTATTTTAATTTAATTTAAAAAATATTTATAAAAATTATTTTTGGGAATAATTAAAAATAAAGTACATTTTAGAGAATAAAAATAACCTAAAAATGAGATTTATTTCATTTTAAACCGCCATTCATCCATAAAAATAAATTATAATCTAAACTAGGTCAATCCACCTAGATTTTCTTTTTTTTGATTCGTTTTCCTGCTTCAATTATTTTTTTGTTTCAATTCAGTTCCATTTTTAATGAAAGAAAATCTGGGTGATATAATATCCCATTGTTTAATTATTTTTATTTTTTTAATATTAAATTAATTAAAAAAATTTTAAAAAAATATGAAAATTAAGAAAAAAATTTATTTTAAATAAAATAATTAAATAAAAAAATATTTTAAAAAATAGCTTGAATCAAAATATCAGTATATTCTAAGCACCTTCCAACTTTTAATCAACTTGAAAACGTTTTAAAACAAGTTTCCAGAATTCTGAAATAATTCGTCGTCCCATTCCTGTGTAATAAAGTTGCTTCCAAAACAGTTAATAGAAGGTGTATTAAATCCAGCATTTAAATAATCCTTAATTAGAGAATAAAGGTTTATAAATTGTAAAAATAAATTAGGTGTATTAAAGTTTTACAATTAAGTTTTGAAATTAAATTTTACAATTGTAAAAAAAATAAACTTGAAAAGTTTATGTATTATATTGTCAAGTTTTACAATAATTTAATATACAAAAGGTTTATTAAAATTTAATAGTCAAGTTTTACAATAAGGTTTTACAAATTGTAAAAAATAAACTTTAAAGTTTATTATATTGTTTTTACAAATTGTAAAATAAACTTGGAAAGTTTATTTTATATTGTTAAGTTTTACAATAAGTTTTTACAAATTGTAAAATATAAAACTTAGAAATAAACTTAGAACATAAACTTAGAATTGTAAAAAAAATAAACTTTAAAGTTTATATTGTTTTTACAAATTGTAAAATAAACTTGGAAAGTTTATTTTTATATTGTTAAGTTTTACAATAAGTTTTTACAAATTGTAAAATAAACTTGGAATGTTTATTATATTGTCAAGTTTTACAATGATGAAAAATATTTTTACAAATTGTAAAAATAAACTTGAATGTTTTATTAATATTTAAGTTTAAACAAAAAAGTTTTACAAACTTACAAATTGGTTATTTGTAATTGTAAAATTATCAATTCCATATATTGACTGGTCGTAAAACGAATACGACTGAAAATCATAATTTTCACTTGCTTGGTTAACATTAATTAAATTATTCTGATTATTAAAATTATTAAAATCATTTAAAAATTTTTGTTTGTTTTCCTGTTCCAATGCATTGTTATCTTTAAAAAAATATTTTTTTATATTTTTTTAATTAAAAATAACCATAAACTTGATTAATTTGTTGGCTATTTTGGTTCAAATTTTGTTCTTGAGACAACAAAATATTATTATTTGACATTTTCTCTAAATTATTTTTATTTTTAACACTCCTTTTTTTAATTATTCGATCATTATTTTTATTTTCTTTAATTTCTGAATTTATTTTATTAAATTTGTAGTGTTTCTTCATGTTTAAGCTGCCTTTTTTGGTCTAAAAATATAATTTTTTAATTTTTTAAACTTAAATTCGACTTACTCTAAAATTGTTTTTAATATTATTATTAATATTTGAATTAATTAAATTAGACTTTGACAAGTCTAAAAACCAATTTATTGAAGGCAATTCATCTTTATTAGTAGTTGAGGGGGAGCTTGTTTTTGAGGGCATTTTTAATTAAATTTTTCTGAAATAATATTTAGCTAGTCTGATATTTAATGAGAGAAATTAAGAAAATTTTTTATTATTTAAAGTGTTTGTTTATATTTAAGAAGGCGTATTTTTTTGTAGTTGTGCGTGACTTTTCTGTTTTACAAATGCTACAAAAGGTTGAAAAAGGTTGTGGAAAGGTTGGAAAAATAGACAGAAAATAATAAAACTTTTTTTACAATTTACTCATTGGTTAAGTGGGTTGTATTTTTACTAAAACCTTTAATGTTAAGATAAACAGCCCAGGTTTGAAGCTACATATCTTTATTTAAATAATTTATTTTTCTGGTTTAAAAGTGTGGGAATAAAAGCAAATAAATTAAGTATAATTAAATTAAGTATAAAAAAAAATAAATTAAGTATAAATAAATTAAGCAAATAAATTAATAACCATTTATAAGGCCTAAAATTCATCTCTCATAGTAAATAGAGATCTGAAATTTTGAAAAGCCTGGACCTGTTCCTGGACTCTGGAGTTTGATTTATTGACCTGGACTGGATCCTGGGCCTGTAGTCCAGGAAAAATCCAGGAAGGTCAAAAAATGTTGGACCTGGACTCTAGGTACAGGAAAAACCCCAGGCCTTGGTCCAGACCCAGGCCGATCTCTAATAGTAAATAATTTCAAAAATTATTTACAAAACATATTTAAAAAATTTCTTAGTTTCCCAAGTGTTTAATGAATAACTAGGTGGATATTTAAAAATAAAATTTATTTTTGTTTTGGTTTATAATTATTAGTTTAGTTCCTCTTAGGCATAAAACAAAAACATATTTATACCTAAAAATATTCTCTCATATCCCAGACATAAATATAAAAATAAATAAATCATGCGAGAAAATATAATATAAAAATTTGTTTTTAAGGCTTAGAGAAAGCTTAATAAATTGTTAGCAGCTGCGCGGTTCATTTTCCCAGTATTACAGAGTGCATATTTATTTTAATTGCTTTACTGGCAATAAAAGACTTGATGCGCGAAGGAGAGAAGGTAAAAATTAAAAGAAAATTGGCACGAATTGGTTGGGGATATGAGGGAAAAATTTTTAGTTTTGAAAGAAAAAAGAGCTTTTAGACATTAAAAAACAAGGAAAACTGTCTCGACCTTAAAATTATTTAGAGAGCTAATAATTAAATCTTGTGACTCTGAGGTGTCTGGCATTAGTAGAAAATTAAATGAAGCACTAAAAAATTTTTTTAATATAAGAGAAGCTAATATAGACAAAACTAAAAATATTTAATTAATAAAATATTTAATTAATAAAATATTTATTTTTAAATTTAAAAAATTTAAAAGAAAATTCAAAAAAAAATTTTTTTTCAAGAGATCACAAGATAAAAAATTTATTTTATTCAAACACAGTCATAATAATTATCATCAGAAACTACATCATTCGGACGATCACATAAAAGAAGCTTTTTGTTAAATAAAAGACCGGGAGGACAATCAAATCTAGTTAATTTAAAATTATAAAATTTAACTTAAATATTACAAATTGTAAAAACATTTTTAAACTTAATTGTAAAAAATTTTTTAAACTTATTTAAACTTAACTACAATTTACAAATTGTAAAACTTATTTGTGAAACTTTATTTTATACCCTCTAATTAATTTACAAATTGTAAAACTTGATTAAAAACATAATTGTTAGTTTATTACAATTTGTAAAATTCAAGTTTAATAACATCCAAGTATTATTACAAATTGTAAAAACTTTCTTAAACTTATTTGTAAAACTTGGTTTGTTTTTTCCAAGTTTATTTTTACAATTAATAAATTGTAAAACTTAATTAAAAACCTAATTGTAATACATACTTTCATGTTTATTTACAATTTGTAAAATTCAAGTTTAATAAAATCCAAGTTAATAAAATCCAAGTTAAATAAGTTTAAAAAATTTTTTTAATAAAATCCAACTCTTATATTTACTCAATAAATTACAAAAACACAAACATTTCATTATAAAACACACAAAGTTGTTAAAAATTCACCTGTAAGCAGTTGTACCAACACAACGATAAAAATGCACACAACTGTTAGGATCTGCAAAAAATCCATCAGAAATGCAGACAAATTCTTTAAAAATCAAATTAAAATTAAAAATAATTTTTAAACTTTTTTTGTTAGAAGGTTGTGTATTTATTAAAGTTCGTTTTGAATGATGCTCGGGAAATGGAAATGGTGGGGGTGAAGAAGTGTGTAGAGGCTAAATAAGAATTAAATATGAATTTAAAAAATTTTTTAATAATTACAAATGTACAAAATCCATAATTGCCATTAAAATGTAATCCTTTAGGACACCACATTGAAAAAGCATTGCCTGTGTTTTAAATAATTTAAAAATATAAAAACACAATTACAATCGGAACTAAATTCCAACTTGAATTAAAACTTTAATTATTCTAAAACTAGTTTTAAAACTTGTTTTACAATTAAACTTGAATTAAAACTTAGAAATACAATTCAAGTTTAATTAAGAAAATAATTTTGTAAAACTTGTTTTACAACTTGAAACTTAAAAACAATTTTTACAACTTGAATTAAAACATTGTAAAACTTGTTTTACAACTTGTTTTACAATCCAACTTGAATTAAACTTGGAAATAAATTCCAACTTGTTTTACAAATTAAGCTTAATTTAACAAACTTTAATAATTACAATTGTAATATTTATATTACCAGAAAGACAAAGTAAAAATTCTTCAGGTAAATACAACGTAGAAAGGGACTGTTGAGGTAGTTGCATAAATCCATCTTTTTTGCCAACACAAAATTTATTATTATTATTAGAAGGCTAAAAATTAATTAATATTTAATTTTTAAAAATATTCTTTACAAGTCTATTAGTGCTACAATTAGATATTGGAGAAATTAAAGTTGTTGTTGGTGCAATTGGGGAGGGGGAGGGGAGAATTGAGGGTTGTATTAATTTAGTATTAATCGTTTTGTTGGTTAATTCACTAGCTATAGCACCAATTAAGGGATATTTGCCAAGGTGTTGGGCATCTGGACATAGCCCATTAAAATCGTCAAAGTCAAGAGTCCACACAAAAGCTCCGCCAAAATTGTTTTGTTTAATCCAATTAATCTTTTAAAATTATATACTATTTTTAAATTTAATTTATTTTAAACTTTTATTCGAACACTATTAACATCTTCATAGCTAAACCATTGGTCTTTATCAGAAATCAAATAGGGAACTTGCATTTCTTTGTTGAAATGATGCTCAGCCCCGTTGGCCAACATTTCACAAAACTTGAATATATTTTAATTTTATTTTTACAATTGTAAAAACACAAAAATCAAAAAATACACAAATAAAAAAAACACAACAAAAATACAAAGAATAAATCCACCTCATAGTAGGCAGCAGTACCACCTGTCTGAACATATTTTGTTGGTTTAGCAGCACTCCCTGGAGCATCCAATCCTCGCTGGTCTTGTGGATGAGTTAAAGTCCATCCTCTACCATATGTTGGAATTCCAACAATAATTTTATTTTTAGGCATTCCTTTGAGGAACCAATAATTTGCGGCACCAGACTAACGGAATTTGAGTTGTTTATTGACCCAAAAATTTATTTTTCAACTCACTACATGCCAATTTTTTAATTCAGGAGGGTCAGTAGCCCTTCCATATAGGGGAGCGTTCATTCCAGTTTTCTGCTCCCACGCCCCATGAAAGTCGTAACTCATTAAAAGAATAAAATCCAAATACCTAATTAAATTATTTTAAAAATATTTAAATAAAAAAGGACTTTGAAATTGTTGGAATATCATAACCAGCATCTATATTTTCTGTTCCGGCTGCTACAGCAGCTGTTAAAAGTAATTTTGGTTTGTAACTGGCTACGCTCTCTGAGGAAATTGCATCTTTGAATTCCTTAATTTTACGAATTTTATTTTATTATTTTACAAATCCAACTTGTTTTACAACTCAAAAACATGAATAAACTTGTTTTAATACTATAAATTTTAGTACAAACATGTTGCAACTTTAGTTTCAGGTTTTTGAAATTTATAATAATATTAAACCTAAAAACAAAAACTTAAAAACAACTTAAAAACACAATTAAACTTGTTCTTAAATAATAAACTTGTTTTAATCGCAACAAACATTTTACAACTTGTTTTACAATTTAAATTAAACTTAAAAACACAAATAAACTTGTTTGGTAAAATAGGAATGTTTCTCAACTTGTTTTAATTTTACAATTGTAAAATTAAAACCCCCCACCTTTAAAAAATAATTCAAATTGAGCTTGTCTATCTCTCCTTTAGGATATTCCCAATCTATATCAACTCCATCAAAATTGTGTAAACGAACAAAAGCAATTGCAGAATTGATAAATTTTTGACGATTTTGCTGACTGGAATTTATATTTTATTTGTATAAATTTATTTATATTTATTACGAGGATGTAATTTGTTGGAAAAGACGAGTACCAAAGGACCAGCCGCCGAATGAAAGAAGTGTTTTTAATGTTGGATCGGATTTCTTTGAAAGAGAAAAATTTTTTCTTAGAATATCAAGTCCACCTTCAAATCGTTTACACGCGCATACATCCCTTTAGGTTGCCAATCGCTAGGTAAATCTGCAGGGTCGTACGCTCTAATAGGAAAATAATTTTGGAGTTTATTCAAATTTAAAAATGCCTAGCTGTCCCGTCTTCATTTATCCAACCAAAAGCATAAAGAATGTGTGTACACAGACCGGGAATATAATGTTCGGGTAAGTATTTGGCCCTCCCTTGGCGATATTGGGCCCAATTTGTAAAGTAACATGGACGAAGGTATTCATTTTCCGAGGTTGCTTCAACTCCTATTGAAAATAATAACTGTTTGTATTAATGTTTGTTTCAGGAATTAAAACTTGTTTTACAAAATTAAAACTTGTTTTACAAAACAAACTTGTTTTACAACTTTAACCTATTTTTACAACTTTAAAATAAACAAGTTTAGATTGTTTACAAATGCAACTTGAATTAAGTTGCAAACTTTTTACAAAACAAGAGCAACGTTTTACAAATTGTAAAACATGTTTTGTAAAATCTACAAATTGTAAAACAGGTTTAGTAAAATGTACAAATTGTAAAACATGTTTTGAAAAATATACGAATTGTAAAACTTATTTTTAATATAAATTGTAAAACTTTTATAATTATTATCTTACGTTGTAGATAAATTGAAAATAAGGAAAATAAATAAATAAAAATAAAATAATTAAACTGACGATTGTAATTAATATAAGAAATCTGCATCTATTTGATAATTATAAAAAATTAATTTTTATAATATTTTAATTTAACAATAAATTGAGCAAAGCAAAAAATACGCAAATCGCAAACATTAAATTTATTTTGCCCTATTTACAAATACTTAAGTATATCCCATAAGTATTGTCAAATCAACAAAAGAAATTGATTTATTTTTTACATCGCAATTTTCCTAAGCTAATATATTAAAAGCAAAGTTGAAGTAAAATTAAAAATAAAATGACTAAAAAACATTTTTAAAAATATGGGAAATTATTGAAAATAATTTTTTATTTTTATTAAAAAAGGAAAGAATGTGAGTGTAATAAATATTAAAAATACAATTGTAAAGTATGAATAAGCTCTTCTTTTTTTTTATTTTCCAGACAGTTAAGGAAAAGTTTCATAATATTACTATTCTACAATTATTAATAAAAAAATAATATTTTACAAATTGTAAAACAAGTTTATTACGAAAGTTAAAGTTGGAATAATATTTTACAAAACAAGAAGCAACGTTTTACAAATTGTAAAACAGGTTTTGTAAAATGTTCAAATTGTAAAACTTGATTTTTAAAACTTGTTTGTATGCAACTTGAATATGCAACTTGAATTAATAATATTTTACAAATTGTAAAAAAAGTTTGAATATTGAACTTGTATTTTACAATTAAATACAAACAAGTTTATTTTTCTGAAAATTGTAATTGTAAAAAGTTTTATTAATAAAATTGTAATAATATTTACAAATTGTAAAAGCTTTAATATTAAAGCTGTGTTTATTCAATATCACTTCTCTGATTATTGTTTTGTTTTGACACAATAAATGTTTCACCGAAATTGCTGAAGAAAATTTAAAACATTAAAGTTGTAAAATGTTTTACAAATTGTAATTTTAAAGTTTAAATTATTACAAATTGTAATTTAACAACCTCATAATTGGAGGTGATTCACTATCTCTTCTCTTTCCATTATTAACAGTTTTACTCGTATTATTATTTCTTTCCCCATTATTTAATCTTTCAAGTATTTGAGCATTCCAAGAGGGTATACCATTATTATTTGAATTTTGTTCGAGCAATTTGCTTAATTGACTTCTTAATATTCGATATTCTCGAAATAGTTGGGAACGTTCTTCATCTAAAAATTTTTTGAAAAATTTTAAAAATCGTTCTCCAATTTACTACCTCCATCAACCTTCTCTCCTCCAACACCTATTAATAAATCTGCAACACGTTCATAACGCCTAAGCTGCTTAAATGCACTTTCCTGTCGTCGTAGTCGACGACTTTGAATAGCAAAATCGGAGTGAATTGCTGCTCCTTTGATAAGAAAAAATTTTTTATTAATAAAATCTAAATTTTATTAAACTTTCTGCCTGTTGTTTAGCCAAAACACTAAGCAATTCAATTACTTGTATTTGTTGTGGCTCTTTAGCCTGAGCTCTTAAAATTCAACAATATTTTAGAAATTGTAATTTTTTACAAACAAGTTTAGTTACCTCATTCTTGTTTCAATGGAACGCATGTTCTGTTCTCCTTTACGCAAAGCTGCTTCCAACTTATGCCTATTTTCCATTAACACAGAATGTCGACGCTCAATTTCCCCCAATTCTGTACGCATTTTTTCCACAGCCTTTTGTAGACGTTCGCCAGAATTAATTATTTGATTATCTTCCTTCTCGTTTTCATCCTTTTGGCCTTCATAAGCTTCGAGAATTGAGATACGTGTCTGTTTTTGTGTCTCAAGTTCGAATGCTTCTGTATTCGCGCGCAACAATCTCTCCCTAAATAAAACAATGTGTTTTCTTTGTTTTTGTAAAAACAAGTTGTATTTTTACAAATTATTTTTTTTGTATTTTCCCAAACAAGTTTATTTTTGTGTGTTTGTAAAACAAGTTGTATTTTTCTGTGTTTTACAAACTGTGTTTTTTGTATTTTCAGAAACAAGTTTATTTTATGTGTTTGTAATACAAGTTGTATTTTTCTGTGTTTCTAACAAACAAGTTTATTTTTTTGTGTTTTACAAACTGTGTTTTTTGTATTTTCAGAAACACGTATATTTTTGTATTTTTACAAATTGTAATTTTGTAAAACAAGTTTATTTTCCTTGTATTTTTCCTAAACAAGTTGTATTTTTCTGTGTTTTTACAAACAAGTTTATTTTTTTGCCTTAATCGCTGTTGCCTTTCAGCACTCGCCAAATGTTGCTCTCTCAACGAATCGAACAATGTTCCCCCAATTTTTGGTAGTTTTACAGCTTGTTGTTGTGTATTTGTGTTTCTTTTGTTTGTTGTTGTGTTTGTAACATTTGTATTGTGTAGAGCTAGTGGAGGGATTACTAGGGGTAAATTTGAGGGAGGGGAGGTATTTCTCCTTCTATTATTATCATAATTAGGGACATTTCCTCTCCTTTTGGGGCTTTGCACATAGTCATCGGCTACTTAAATAATTACTAAATTAATTTTAAAAATAAAAAATAAGAGAACAATGTCCAGTGGAATTGTAAGCATTATGCCCTCCTCCCAATTCGAGTCTTCCAGCCTTTTGTGCTTCAGCCCGGAGAGTTGCTAGCGCATCAGAATAGGACCGGTCAGCAGATGCTGGACGTCGAGGACGTGATTGCTAAATTAATATTTTGTTTTAATTTTTTATTCTAATTGTAAGGCAAGTACCCTCAAGTCGATGCTTAATGCGCGAGTAGCATAACTGAAAGGAAAATTTTTTTCCTCTTAAAAAATTTCTTTTCTTCAAAATAATTTTATTTTGGGTAATCTAAAATAAATTCATAATTATTTCCTTACGTTAAAGTATTAAAAGTTTCATCATAATGAACAGATGATGGAGTAACATGTGCTATAAGGACAGTCTTTGCCCCATCAGCTCCACCTGCCAACGAGTCCTTTAACAATCTTGTTAATTTAGAATCTCGATAATTAACAAAAGTAGCCCGTCCCCTTCCATTCTGAGCAGCACTTAAAGCATTAATTACGTTGCCAAGTGCTAAAAGAGAACGGTTAATGGCTGCGCCTTCTTTCAAACGTTGTCCTTGATTCTTTTTAAATTTTTTTAAAAATTAAAAATATTAATTAAAAATATTAAAACTTGAGTATGTGCAGCTCTCTCAGAACCGGCAAGATCAATTAAAAATAATTTTCCTCGTTCACGCTCATTACGCATGAGAGAAATTTGTAAAAGTGCGTGTGAACGGGAAGAAGTTCTGTTAATTATTTGTGTTTTTGTATTTTCAAGTTTATTATTTTTACAATTTCAAGTTTATTTTACAAATTATTTTCAAGTTTAAGTTTTTACAATTCTTTAATTACAATTCAAGTTTATTTTATATTTTACAATTCAAGTTTATTTTCCTATTTCAAGTTTATTTAAAAATAAACTTACGCATTAGCCCCTGTTGCCTCTTGTGTTCTTCTACTATTCCCTTCCTGTAACAGTTGCAATATTCTGTTGCTATTAGGTGCGCGAACTCTACTCAAACTTGGGACTTGAACATTTCCATGATTGTCCTTTTAAGTTTGCTCATTAAAAAAATTTTTTTAGTTACTTCTAATAGGTCCAAGTGAGGTCCTCCTTTTGGTGTTAGCAAGTCACGAATATTTTCGTTGTATAATTCCTTTAATAATTATTTTTTGAATTTATTTTTAGAAAATTTTTTCTTCTTCACGTACCATAAAAGAAATAAAAACTCTCGTTTCTCGGTCTCCCATCTCTCCCAGTCGCGAATATAACGCTCGAGTCATTTGCGTCATTAAACCAGGCCTTTCTCTTGTTCCAACCATTGTGTGGGTTTTGCCTGTTCCTAAATTTATGAAAAAAATTTTTATGGATATAAATAATTGATAGGCGAAACAACTAAAAAAGGCAAAAGAATACGAAAGACGAAACTCGAAACGAAAACCTGTAGGTCCATAAGCTAGCACAGTCCCATTCCTCCCAAACTGAACAAGATTGTCAATTAATCCTTGACTGCTCCTCATTTCCTCTTGGACATCAATTTCAGAAGAAGTAGGGCCAAAAACTCTGTCAAAATTAAATGATCTTTCCTGGGCCCTATTTTGCCTTAAAGGGTCTGCAGAAAATTTGTCGGGGTCGACGAGGAGAAGTCTCTTTAAAGTTGAAAATAATTTTGAATTAATTATAGAGGAACCTTATTATCAACAACACTAATACATTCAAATTCTCCCTTGTTTCGATTATTCAAATCGAGAGGTCGAACACGTACAAAGACCTTTATTTTAAATTTAATTTAAATTTTTAAAAAATATTTTTTTAAATGAAAATAATTTTATTTAAGAGACTAATAATTTTTAAAAATATTAGAAAAAAATAGTAACTGAAAGTTTTGTGCTTCCATCCGCTCTGTCTGTTGGGGGCATTTTTATTAAAAAAATATTTTTTTAAATTATTAATAAATTTATTTTTTAAATTAATCTTAGCAATATATGTACTAATTTAAAAATTATATAAATTTTTAAAATTTAAATAAAATGATAAATTTTGGTTAAATAAAATATGTATAAAGTGTACTAGTCTGTGTGAAAATTAAGACTTGAAAAGGTTTCCAAGTAAATTAACAATCTTTGAGAGAAAGAGAACATTTAAAAAATATATTTAAAAAATTATTTTATTATTATTAAAATACCATGACAACAACACAACTTTAAAGAAAAGTTTTTTTGTTGTTTAAAGAATGGTGAGGGAAGGAGCTCGAGAAAAGGAAGGCATGCATAATTCTTGAAAAAAATAAAAAATTGTAAGAAAATGAACTACAATAATTTATTTTAGTAAATATAAATATAGATTACCGTAATCAATGAAGATTTTTTCAAAAAATTTTGTTTTACCCCAATATTTTAAAAATAAATATAATTAAATTTGGGGAATTTTTATTCCAAGGATTATATCTTTGGAGTAAAGGAAGTCTATTAATTCGGTCTACATCGAGATATACCATTTTGAGTATACCACTAAAAAAATCACTCCGAAAATAATCAAGCCTTTGTATCTTCAGATAGAAATATCGTGTAAAACTCGGGCTCGTGTTTACATTGTTAGAGGATTTCTTTTATGTTGATTCTTTTAATTAATTAATAATTTTCTAATTTAATTTTTTAATTTTATTAATTGATGAGTTAAAAAGGGGCGTGGCATTGTTGAATTTGGGGAAGACGGCCAGTTGAGGAAAAAATATTTTTTATTTTTATTTATTTGAAGATGATGGAGAGAATAAAGAAAGATTTGTCTACTTGAGAGAAGAAAAATTTTTTGTGCCCCCAATTATTATTACTGACCCACTCAATTTATTTATTATTTTTTGATGACCATTATCTATTCAACAAATTTGTATTTTTTATTTCCGATTATTTTTTGTCTCTATTTTTGGGCTTATCAGAATTTTTATTAATTATTTATTTTAATTTTTTAGTTTAATTATTATGTTAAAAAATAGATTTATATTTTACCTATTTATTTTTAATTAAAATATATTTTCATGGGTCAGATTACTCCCGAGTATATTAATCTTTTAAATGGCCAGCGTAGAGGCACCCTGAATGCTTACATATGAATGATTATCGGCTCTGTATTTATATCAACATCAAATTTGGATTGAGGGATTATGTGCGATATCACGTCGAATCCCCCTTATATCCCTCTTGATCACTCAATATCTCCAAACCTTTCTAAACCCTCTATATTCACGATAAAATACTTAAGGCATAATAAAATAAAAATCTGTGTTTATCTAAACGTTGTAAGATATTCGGGATAAATTTTGTGTGTATTTCAGTCTAAATATTATAGTAGAAAGACATTCAGGGGTGTCGATGAGAACCCTGGTTTACAATTAAAAAAGACATCCCATTATTTAAAAAATATTTTAATTATATATTTAATTTTTTCCAGTTTTTTGGGTAATGTTTAGGCATGATCCATTTACTCAATCTATTAAATATATAAATAAAAATTCACTAATAAAAAAACAAAAATTTTCAACAAAATTTTTTCGAAAAATATTGGCAAAAAGAAGCAGATGCCTAAAGGCCTGCAAATTATTTTTCCAACAAAATTATTATTTTTTCTAATGTTTTTGTTCAGTTTGGCGTCAGCTGCTTTAATTATACCTTTATTAATTAATAGTAAAAAATCAGAGCAAGTTAATAGAGGTGGAAATTCGTCAATTTTTGGGTGGAAAATGAATTTTTTTATTTTTTAAATTAATTGTAAAAATTAATTTAGTTCCCAATTAAATCATAAACAAAAATTTTCATGCCCTAAAAATTGTTTCTGTGCCCATTCTACAGTTATTTGCAAAGGTTTGGGGTTAGAACGTGTACCCAAAGCAATACCTAATGATACTACTAAATTGTAAGTGGAGAATAAAATTTTAAAAATCAGATAACAAAAAATCAGAATTAAAAATCAGAATTAAAAATCAGAATTTGTAAAAAATAAAAATTGGATTCTGATTTCTAATTTTCACAAATTCTGATATTATATTTTTTTACAAATTTTGATTTTTATTCTGGATTTTAAATATAAATAAAAATCAGAATTTGTAAAAAATATCAAAATTTTCAACAATTGTAAATCAGAATTTGTAAAAATTAAAAATGAGAATGTTGAAAATAAATATCAGAATTTGTAAGAACTATCAAGTTAAGTTAATATCAGAATTTTTATAATATAATAGAAAATCAGAATTTGTAAAATTATTGCAATAAAATTGTTCAAAATAAAAATCAGAATATTATTTTTCAATAATAAATATTTAAGAGATTTACAAGGCAATCGAATTACAAAACTTTATTTTGATGATTTTATCGGTTTAAACGACTTGCGCACACTGTTGAGTATTTTAAATTTAATTTAATTTATTAAAAAAAAATTTTTAAGTTTATTAGGAGACAATTTAATTCAAGAAATAGAAAATAATGTTTTTGAAAATTTACAAGCTTTGGAACGTCTCAGACTAGATAAGAATCGTTTACGTTCTCTGCCAGCTAATGGATTGTTTAAATTTAATAAATTATTGAGAAGATTGTAAGTTTTTTTAAATAAAATATTTCTCGTCCTTATTTTATATAAAAATAATTTTTTAGCTGTCATTTCATTAAAACCACAAACAAAAAAAATTTTTTTAAGCACTCCAAATCCTTTTAGCAAATTTAGTCCTAATTTAAATGAATATACACTCGGTGGCACTTTAATAAAATAAAAATCCTCTTAAATCAACAGGCATTATTTTTTTATTTGTATTAGTAGGATAATATATGGGGGTAATTTTTAGTGATGTTCGAGAGTCAAAAAATCCCGAGAGTCGAGAGTCGAGACCGAGACCGAGAATCAACCCCGAGACCGAGACCAAAACGAGAGTCGAGAGTCGAGACCGAGAGTCGAGACCAAGAGAATAAGAGGGATATCACTTGGTGTCCTCCTAATCCCTAAAAATCCATTTATATCCCTCATAATTCCAAAATCTCTTGAATCCCCAAGTCCACATAACTTTACCTCTAATCTCTCAATATCCACCTTAATCCACTGATGATATTCACATTAATCGCTTAAAATTATCCCTCGATATCCCTCCAAATCCAACAATATCTACTTGGCCCTTGATGCCAAGAACAAGTCCCTTGATGCTTACTTTAATCCTTTCGAATCCCCAGATATCATTCTCATATTTTTTAATCCTATTAAATCAAAAAATTTTTGCGAAAATTTTGAAGGGCCACAAAGCCAGATGTCTTTTGTTAGCGCCGCAGGCGAAAATTTTGAGAATTTTGGAAGGTCAATAGCCAGATCTCTTCCTTTTTTCACCGCCGGAGGCGAAAATTTTGAGAAATTTGAAAGACCTTAGGCAGATATTTTTTTGAAGTTTAGATGGTCATGAACCCAGAACTTTTTAATTTTCTGCGCCGCAGGCGAATATTTTGAAAAATTCATAACTAAATTAGAATTTTTAATGTCTTTTGAAGTTTAAAATATTAAAAAAAATAAATTTTAAAATCAAAATCAAAGTTAAAAGACATTTATTTTTGAATGTAAAAACTTTTTCAGACTCAATTCCACCCCTGGATTCGAACCCATCCCTATAAAAGTAACTAAATGGATGAAGCCAGTCGACTTCACCACTCAACCATCGAAAACAAAAGTAAAAGTGGGAGAAAATATAAATATTTCTTTCACTTTTCTTTAAAAAATTAAATGTTAAAGTACGAGGGGTAAAGTAAAATTCAAAAAATTTCCGTCTTTAGGGGTGTAAATTTAGTCTCGTTTTCCGAGAGTAAAACACCGAGACCGAGACCGAGAGCTCAAAAAACCCGAGAAATTTCTCGACTCGAGAGTCGAGACCGAGACTCTCGAACATCACTAGTAATTTTGGTGGTTTAATAATTATTAAAAAATCAGAATTCTCATTTAATTCTGATATTATTCTGATAATACAATTATTAAAAAATCATAATTCTGATATTATTCTGATTTTAATTCTGATATTGTTAATTATTATTTATTTAAAAAAATCAGAATTCTGATTTTAATTCTGATCTTTTAATTATTTTAAAAATCAGAATTCTAATTTTAATTCTGATTTAATTCTGATATTACAATTATTTAAAAATCAGAATTCTGATATTATTGTCATACTTCTGATATTTTAAATATTATTAAAATTTCAGAATTTGTAAAATTAATATCAGAATTACAATTTGTAATTCTGAAAGTAATACAGAATAAAATTACAATTAAATTTCACCTTTTTATTCCCCTCATTTTTAAATCATTATATTTAATTCCCCTCTTATTTTTTCTAAAAATCACTGCGCGGATTTATTTTTTTATTTATTTTTATGCTCTAATGCTTTGTTTGTTTTTACTCAAAAAATTATTTTTTTTATTTCTTTTTTTATTTTCTTTGATTTTTTACTTTTTTTTTTACAAATTTCTTCCACATTTTTGATTTCCCCATAAAGACTAATTGGGAGGGGAAGGCAATGGGGCACGCGTAAATCGCTAGCGATTTGCCTTGATAATAAAAAAAGTAAAAAAAGGAATGGAGAAAGGAGGAAATTAAAGGATAAAGAAGAAAATCTGATGAAAGAATCTTTAAAAAAATAAAAGAAAAATAATGGACTAAGTAGGGGGGGGGGGAGGCAAAAGGTTGAAGATCTAGCAAGAAGGACGTAACCCTCTATTTTGGACTTAACCCCCATTAATTGTCTAAAGACTTTTAGTTACGCTAATTATTAAAAAGTAGATTGACGGATGTTCCTTTCTCATAAATAAAAATATTTATTTTTGGTTATTAAATTATTAGAAGTTATGGGGCAATGTCATGAGAAAAAGTTATTGGAGCAACACATTAATTTACCTACCTTATTATTCAATTAAAAATTAAGAAAAATTTATTTTTAGGGGTAATTATTTTTGTTATGTTCTAGGGTTGTTCAAGATTTGCACAAGTCGAGCGAGTACAAGATTAACGCTTATCCAGGGTAGAAAGTTAGAGAGTAGGAAGACAAAGGAGGTCAGGAATTAGTCGGTATGCTACCAACCATAGGTCCGAGTTCCGACTTTTGTGCCATTTCCGATTTCCGAAAGTTCCGATTTCCAATTTCCGACAGTTCCGACAGTTCCAATTTCCGAAAGTTCCAATTTCCGGCACCTTCGTCATTTCCGACCCACCTCTGCTACCGACGATGACACTGGGATTTTATACTAAAGTAACACCAATACACAACATTTTTAAGGGTAATTTTATAAATTTTATTATCTCCCCTATTTAATTCTTCGTAAAATTAATGTTTTGTTTGTTTTAAAAATTCTTCAAAGCTCTTTACTTTTAATTATCTTCTTCATCTTTTATTGCTCTTAAAATTGCAGCAACCGTTTTTCAAAAAAGATTTTCACCGTCCTTTCTAATTTTAAATACTTTTTAACCCCAAATGTCGTCAAATGGTCAAATCTGCTATTTTATTTTTATTTCTCTTCAATTCACTTCAAATCCTCGTTTTAATGCTGAGAGAAATAAAGGGATAAGAGAAATAAAGGGGCTTTGAAGCACGTTGAGTCTTAGCCCTATAACTCAGCAAAGGGTGAACTTTTCGAGATGATTTTGGTACCATTCGATAGAGAATTAAATTTTCTATTAGAAAAAAAAGAAAATTTAATTTTAAGTTGAGTATCAAAAAAGTTATGACGCGAAAACCAACAAAAAACCGACAAAATTACCTTAAAAATGGCAGTTTTACGACTACAACTTTTTTGTCTTTTAATATAAAATTCCAATTTAATTTTTATTTTATAGCCAATTTAATTCTCTATCGAATGATACCAAAACTTTTTTGAAAGGTTAATTTATTATAGAGTTATACTGCTTAGACTCTCTCGTGTCGCAAGTTCCCCTTAATAAAGCTTTTGACGATTATTATTGTGAAGAAGAGGAAAAAAGCGATAAATCGGCCAGCATAAAAATTCTTCGATCAAATATCTAAAAGAGGGGGAGAGGAGATCGGGGAGGAAAGGTGTTTCTCTCTCCCTAAAGTTTGTTTAGCGTTTGATTTGTGGCCAATTGTTTGCGGCGTCAACTCCGAATGTTTAATAGTGAATATTTTTGTTATTGTTTGGGGGATAATAAATGTTGAAAAATAAATAATAAAATTGAAAAGTTCAGAAAAGAGTAAATTTTTTAAAATATTTTTAAAAGTTAGTAAATTATAAATGAAGGGAGATTTATTTTAAAAAAATTAAAAAAAATAAAATTATTAAGAAAAAAAAAAGATTATTTGAAGTATTAATATTTAATGAGAACAATAATTTAATTAAATATTTTTAGTAGTATAAATAACAATATAGGATCGTGGGAATAAAAATAATTAAAATATGTGTTTAAATTTAAGCCTAATTTATTAATGTAAAAATATACTTAATAATTCTGTTATTAATTTTACAAATTCTGAAAAGAAAATTACAAATTCTGAAAAAATAAAAGTATTTTACAAATTCTGATCAGGGTTGTCGTTTTACCCTATTTATAGGGGATTTTCCCTATTTTTGGCCTTTTCGCCCTATTTTTTCCCTATTTTATACATTTGCCATATTTTGCCCTATTTTTAACATTTTGTGATATTTTTCTAATTTTCTGGGATTTTGTAAATAAAATGCGAAAAAACAAAGAAATCTTACTCTTGGACATTAAAATTCCCAAAATTTTCGCCTGCGGCGCTGAAAAAAAGAAATCTCTCTCACTGGTCCTCTTAATTTCTCAAAATTCTCGCCTTCGGCGTTAAAAAAGGAAACAATCTGGCTTCCTAACTTTTCAAAATTCCCAAAATTTTGCTAAAAATGTTAGAAATCTATCGGTTCCTGAGATCTTGAAGAAAAACTTGATTATCGAGATTGAGATTTTTCCGAGACATCTCGTACGTACGATAAAAAATCTCGTACGATTCTCACACGACATTCCCAGTCTGGTCTAATGTGAACTTTTCTGTTTATAAAAATTTAGTTAAAACTAGTGGAGAACATGTGGAATAAGGCTTTTTATTTAAAATTTTAATTATTTTTATGTTTTTTAAAAAATTCCCTATTTTTTGCCATATTTTTGACCGATTTCGCCCTATTTTTTCCCTATTTTTGAGTGGCTGCGCCCCATTTTAGTGGTTTGGAAACGACAACCCTGATTCTGATTTTAATTCTGATATGTCATTTAATTGTTAGTTCTCACAAAAATTCTGATAATTCTGATTTTTAATTCTGATTTTTCTAATAATTCTGATTTTTAATTCTGATTTTTATATAATTCTGATTTTTTACTTATGATTTTTAAAATTCTGATTTTTAATTCTGATTTTTTAAATTCTGATTTTCTAATAATATTCTGATTCTTAAATTCTTATTTTAAATAATTTTGATTTTCTAATAATTCTGATTTTTTAAATTCTGATTTCCTAATAATATTCTGATTTGGTACTATGCGTTTATATCCCCACAATTCTGCAAATGTTTGTCCGCACTTTTTTTCATTCTTCTCCTCATAAAGCATTAGAAACGGTCAAGTTAACCCCCATTTTTTCTTCGCCTTATTTCTCCTCTCATAAAGATTAAAATGTTCAAGTAAAAATAAAGGAAGACAAATTTTCGCTTATGGAAAAATATAAAGGTAAAAATAAAAGAAGGTTTGGAAATTATTTCGGTAATAGTTTGTTTGGTACCCCCCCCCCTGAACCGAAATACGGGCCTATGAACATTTCGAATAAAAAATGAAGCAGTTTGAGCCATATATCTCGGTCCACAGGCATTTACGGGAAAAAAGTGTTACCGTTCGACTCAGCACCTTTTATTACCTATATATGACATTTTAGCATTAATTTATGGGGGTGTGGCAGAACGGAAAAGTACCAATAAGGGAGAAAGGGAAGGAAAAATGAATAAATGGTCAGAAAAATGGGGCCAAACAAACTATTACCGAAATAATTTCCAAACCTTCTTTTATTTTTACCTTTATATTTTTCCATAAGCGAAAATTTGTCTTCCTTTATTTTTACTTGAACATTTTAATCTTTATGAGAGGAGAAATAAGGCGAAGAAAAAATGGGGGTTAACTTGACCGTTTCTAATGCTTTTTGAGGAGAAGAATGAAAAAAAGTGCGGACAAACATTTGCAGAATTGTGGGGATATAAACGCATAGTACCTCTGATTTTTTTTAACTTTAATCAGAATAAACTATTAAATTCTGATTTTTATTTTTTTAAAAAGAGATCTCTCCCAAAACGAGCTTTGGACAATTTCCACAGAACAAATAATTGGCCCAACAGAATTGGTTACACTAAATTTGGACAGGAACCAATTACATTGTTTAGATTCTCTTTCCCTAAATCAATGGCCTTCATTGGAGCAACTTACTCTTAGTTCTAATGGTTTTTAAATTCTTCTGATTTTTAAAATTCTGATTTTTTAATTCTGATTTTTCTAGCACTTACTTCCCTATCAGAACTTGATCTTGCTTCACTGCCGAAGCTGCGCACTTTGTTAGATTCTTTTTAAATTTATAAAAAAATAATGAGAATTTCAGAAAGTTGGGAGATAACCCATGGAATTGTGATTGTCGTATGCGTTGGCTGAAGCGCCTAAAAGTGGCGAACCAAGTAGAATTATCAAAATGTCCACTCCAACATTTTATTAAATTCCAGATTCGTTGCTACAGACCTTCCTATCTGTTTAGCCGTTCCCTTGATAAAGTTAGCCTAAAACAACTAAAATGCTCCGGATTGGAAAAGAGAGGGTTAACAGGTTCAAAACGAACATGCCGTCAAATGGACGGATGCCCTTCAGTCTGTACATGTACTCAAGTTGGGGGGAATGTGTCAGATATAAATAATGGGGTAGATGTAGTTGTTGATTGCCATGATAGACAATTACGTTCTGTGCCTGTTGGATTGCCTCAAAATACTGTTGAATTGTTTGTTTTGAATTTTTATACTGTAGAATTCAAGACCCTCACTATAAGGTGCACCTCTGGGTATTGATATGACATCTCTCCCCCTCAACCAACATTGTATTTTAAATACAGGTATATCTAGTAGTGTGGGTCAGGGATGTGACCTGACGTATTTTAAAAACGGAAGACTTAAAAACGGAAGAAACGGAAGACCGAAGAGGCAAAAATACGGAATTCTGGGGAAGGCGGATGAGAGCCTATCCCTGGTCAGGAGCGTTTTGCATTTGTTTGGAATTGTGTCCATTCCTGATCCAATTATAACTTAAGAGAATAAAAAATTTATTTTTTAGAAGACTCGAGCAGAATAGAATAACACAATTAGAAGCAAACTCCTTCTCTCATATGCCTAAACTTGTACGTCTAGATCTCAGCAAGAATAATATAATTTCTGCAGACCCAGAAACGTTTAAAGGACTGAAACAGCTTAATTCTTTGTAAATTGAGATAAAACTTCTTCATACATAGAAATCTTATTAATTTTCAGAATGCTTTACTCCAACAATTTAACAGATTTGGGCGATCAACTTTTTAAAGACCTAAATTCACTCCAGGTGCTTTTACTCAATGGAAATAAGCTTAAATGTCTTCGAGATGGAATTTTTGGAGGACTTGGACATTTAAGGCTTTTGTCTCTTTATGACAACAATATAAAGTCGATTACTGAAGCAACTTTCTCTCCTTTAAAAAATTCACTTCAGGTCAATTTAAGACTAAATTTGAATTTCTTCTACATGTACTGCTCAGGGATGTCACGGGTTACCCGAAACCCGATACCCGAAACCCGAAACCCGGCCTTTTTTTCGACCCGATACCCGAAACCCGATCCGAGAAATTTTCTAAAACCCGACCCGAAACCCGACCCGAGAATTTTTATTTTTCAAAACCCGACCCGAAACCCGACCCGAGTTTTTTCAAAATTTTCGCTCGCGTCGCAGAAAAAGGGAAGATTTTTAGCTTAATGATCCTCCAAAATTCTGAAAATTTTCGCCTGCGGCGCTGAAAAAGGGAAGATTTTTAGCTTAATGACCTCCAAAATTCTGAAAATTTTCGCCTGCGGCGCTGAAAAAGGGACTTTTTTCGACCCGAAACCCGATCCGAAGAAAATTTTGAAAACCCGATCCGAAACCCGACCCGACTTCTTGCTCAACCCGAAACCCGAAACCCGATCCGAGAAAAATTTTGGAAACCCGACCCGAAACCCGACCCGACATTTTTCTCAACCCGTGACATCCCTGGTACTGCTTGAACTTGATGAAATTCGTTTCATGAACTCCAGGAAGTACTCATTGAAAATAGCTTTGAAGCTCGTCGCTTTACTTCCAGAACACTTTACATTATCACTTGAACTTGATGAACTTCGTTTCATAGAGTTCAAGCAGTACATTCAGGCAGTACAGCAGTTGAACCAGTAAACTGCTCGGACTTGATGAAATAAAGTTAACACCATTTCTCTCTAGATATTACATCTGGCAAAAAATCCACTAATTTGTGACTGTAATCTTCAATGGCTTGCTAAACTTCTTCGTTCCCGCCCACTAGAAACTAGCGGGGCGCGTTGTGCTTCTCCTACAAGAATGGAGCGTCGTCGAGTTGTTACCTCATCTGTAGAGCAATTCAAATGTTTGGGCATTGAAAGTCTAGTTACTGCAGGTGCCGGAAAGTGTTTGCTGGACAATGAATGTCCGGAGCTTTGTAAATGTAACGGGACTGTGGTTGATTGTAGGTAGGTAGACATTCCGAATGTTTGCCATTTTTAACTACAGTTGGACCTCATTTTCGAACTAACATTAAGGACTAGACAACTTAAGGATAAGAGGAATTGACTAATTTATGATGCCCCTTGTTAAGGATACCTCTCGTTAGGAGACGAATTTTTCCAGAGCCACGTGTGTGCTTTATAATGAGATCCATCTGTGTTTTTTAATTATTCAACCTATTTTTAATTTTTAAAGCAATCTCGACTTGTTATCACCCCCAACAGCCATTCCCAACTTTACAACATCCCTCATACTATCAAACAACAAAATAACAAAACTAGAACCTTTTGCCTTTGGAATGGGCATAAATAAATTAACTAATCTACATACTCTGTAAATAATTTCCTATAATTAATTTGAATCCTGTTCTCTTCTTAAAGCAATCTGAGTAACAATAATCTTAATTTTTTGGCACTCACTTCTCTTGCCGGTATTGAGAATCTTAGAGTTCTGGATCTGCGCAACAATTTGTTAAATAGGCTGAATGTTCTAGAGGCTCTATCAGCTGACAATGGAACTGATAAAATTGAGGATTTGGACCATGAGAGAGATCACTCTCTTGAGATACTGTATGTCTAATTTTATTGCTGACCATTTTGAGACCATTTTCCTACAACAATTTTTTATAAAATTAATTTTAAGACATTTGGATGGCAATGAATTTAATTGTGTTTCACTTGAATATATGCCTAATACCCTTAAAATATTAACTATTACAAGGAATCCGAACTTACACTCAATAATATTAAATATAGTAAAAATTTAAAAATTGAATTTTTAAAATTCTTTAATTCCTGCAGAATACACAAAATAAAAAATCTTTAAATATCGAAATTGATTCAAATGGGCAATTGCTTTGCGATTGTAATTTGCAAAGTTTATTAAAGGAAGGCGGAATAAGTTGGAATAACCGGCAAGAACCGAAATGTGGAGGGCCAGGAAATTTAAGAGGAATGACTTTAGAACAGTTTAAAAATGTTAAGTGTTCTGGTAAATTATGAAAAAAAATTATTTTAAAAATTTTTTAAAAAAAGATCAAAGAGAATCTACTTGTTCTGAGGAAGGAATATTATGCCCGGCTGGCTGTAAATGTACTTCCTTAATAAATAATTATTTTGAACAACAACCAAAAAATCTGAATAATCACAGATTTAGACATGGAAAAAGAAGGCTTTTATTTAGACATAGAAGAGAAGAAGATAATTTTAGAAGGAAGAATTCAGTTATTGTAAAGTGTTCGAATGCTTCTTTAGTGAATATTCCATGGCCTTTACCTCAAAATACGGAGGAATTATTACTTGATAATAATAAAATTAAAATTATTAAAGGAGAGAATTTTATGGGACTTGAACATCTTAAAAAATTGTAAAATTATTTAAAATATTTATTAAAAAATAATTATTAATAATTAAGGTAATACTTAAGTTTGTAGACCCCTTTTTAATTAGTTACGGAAAAGTCTTCTATTAATATTCCGGAAACTATTCCATAGCCTATATTCTTATATTTTTTTCCGGAAAGTTTGTATTATTTTTCCGGAAATTTATATATTTTTCCGGAAACATATATTTAACAAGAAACTTCAACTCCGGAAAAGGTGTTAAATGTTTCCGGAATTTCTATTGTATTTTCCTTTATTTTATAGAGGGGACCACAAAGTTAAATAGTTTAGTAATATTGTTCAAATATTAAATAATTAAGTAAAAATCTAAAAATATTTTATTTAGAGATCTCTCTCATAATTTGATTGAACATATACCTTCTAATGCCTTCTCCCCGTTAAAATCTTTGAATGCTTTAATGCTCTCGCATAACCGTATAAGCTGTCTCTCAAAAGGAGCATTTGATGGACTTGGACTTTTAAGAGTTTAATAAATTTAATTTTAATTTTTAAATAAAATTTTTTAGATTTTATCGCTTCAATCAAATCTAATTTCTAAATTACCGGAAGTTGTATTTTCCAAATTTGTATTAGAAACTCAACAAACACTTAGCCATGTGTCCTTGGGGGATAACCCTTTATTGTGTGATTGTGGAATGAATTGGGCTATTAAATGGTTGAGATCTAAATTTTTAGAGCCTGGTTTAAAAAAGATTTTTTTTAATATTTTTTAAATTTATTTTAAGGTATTGCCCGATGTTCTGACCCTCCAGAAAGACGGCATCAACTTTTATTAAGTGTGCAACCCTATGCGCCTTGTCCAACCTTAAATAATACAAATATTAATGAGGATTTATGTAATTTTTGTTCTCCAGAGAAGTGTTTAAATGATGGTCATTGTGTGGTGGATGAAGAAAATGGAGAAAATTGTAATTAGAATAGAATGTTTTTTATTTTTTCCGGAAAGCTTTCCGGAAAGAATTTCAATGTTTCCGGAAATAATTATTTATGTACTTCTTTCCTGAACTTATTATAATTATTCCGGAAATGTATACATAGTATACAATGGGAGAAATATTTCCGGAAAACTTTTCCTGATTTATAATATAGTTTCCGGAAAATGTTTTCCTTTCCGGAGTGTATTTAAAGAATATTTCCGAAATAATTATTTAATCCGGAAAATATTTTAGTGTTTCCGGAAAATATAATATACAGTTTACTAATATTATATATTTTCCGGAAATTAATATGTTCATAAAAACATTCCCCACCTTTCCGGAAAATATTTTATTGTTTTCCGGAATGTTTTAATCTTAATTAAATTATTTGTTTTAGTTCCCTTTCAATATAAATGTATTTGTTCGCCCGGTTTTTACGGAAAACATTGTGAACATCAAGTAGATTCCTGCTTTGGAAATCCTTGCAGAAATGGGGGGAAATGTATAGTTAAGATGGGAGATAATAAATTAATGTATGAAGGAAGGTTTAACTGTATTTGTTTACGTGGATTTGCTGGGGAAAGGTTGGGGAAATAATTTAAAAAATTTAAAACAATTAAATAGATGTGAGAGACAAATTAATGAATGTGTAGAGAAGGGAGGAAAAGAGCGTTGTTTAAATGGAGGGAAATGTCTGGACCAGGTTGAATAACCAATTAAATTTTTTAAAATTTATTTAAGCTTAATGGTTATCGTTGTGAATGTCCAAAAGGGTGGTTTGGTAATTATTGTGAATTTAATTTGTGTGATTCTTTGTCTCAAAACAATAATTGTTCTAAAGAGGATAATGTTAAATCATCATTTTTAAGTGTTAGTAGAATGGAGAGGGCAAATAATGATGGGAAAAGGGTGAAAATAATTTTATTAATTTTGTTAAATTTTTTATTACTATATCATTCTTCCGGAATGTAAAAAAAAATAAAAAAAAATCCAAAAAATTTTTTTAACCCTTCCGGAAAGAAAATTTAAAAAAATAAAAAATCTTTTCTAGGTTTCCAAACGAAATTTTTGTCCTTTCAATTATGCCGACCCTCCAAAATGTAGTCGTAGAAGGGCTATAGCGATCAAGACAACCAACACATTTTTATCTCTTGGCCAATGGCCTATTAATAATTTTAATAATTCTGTAATAAATGGAGAAATATCTTTTCATTTTGCAACAAATCAGAGGTGAAAAAAACTTTTTTTAATTAAAAGGAAATTAATTAAATTATTTTCTAGTGATGGAACAATGTTTTGGTTAGGTGATAAAAACGATGATTCATTTATACTTCTTGAATTAGTGCGTGGGCGTTTAAGAGCAGCTGTTCAACTAGGAAAGGGGCACGAGCCTTATTCCCAATTATATTCTATGAATATTGGTAAATTAATTTTTTCCGGAAGTTTAATATTAAACCGGAAAACAATTTTACAAATTGTAAAATAAGTTCGATTATTTTTACAATTTGTAAAACAAGTTTTAAACTTATTTCACAATTTGTAAAAGCGTAAAATAATTTCACAATTTGTAAAATAAGTTTTAAATGTTTTACAATTTGTAAAAAATGTTTAAGATAATATTACAATTTGTAAAAAAGCTTTAAAATAATTTTACATCTGTAAAAAAAGTTTAATATACATACTTTTACAATTTGTAAATTAAGTTTAAAACTGTTTTACAATTTGTAAATTAAGTTTTAAAATAATTTTACAATTTGTAAATTAAGCTTAAAATGTTACAATTTGTAAAAAAATGCTTTTTAAAGTTTCTGATTCAAAATCTCATTGGCTAGTTATCGGAATATATGGACAAAAATTTTATTTAACCGTTGATGACTTTCCAACACAATTTGCAATAAATACAGGACCTCTAAATTTTTTTCCCAATGAATTTTTACAAATATATTTTGGAGGTACTATAAATAAAAATAATTTTTAAATTAAAAAAATATTTTTAGGTGCCCCAGCAGATTTAGGGCGTAGGGCGCTTGTTCATTTTATAATTTCGGATGCTTCCAGCATTATAGGTAAAAATATTTTAAAAATTAAATTTTAATTTTTAAAGTCACAAATATCCAATAATTAAAAAAAAAATATTTTTTTCAATTTTCTAGGCTGTTTTTGGGACCTTCGCTTCAACCAAATCTCAGACATTGAAAATAATCTATTGCCATATCCATCATTAGATTTGTCAAAATATATTCATGTAAATAACACTTTTATTGGGGAATGCAATAATTAATCAAATTTTTTTTGATTTTTTAATGTAAATAAAATTTTTTTTATTTAAAAAAAAATTTTTTTATTTTTTTTTATCAAAATTTATTTAAATGTCAATACTAATCTATTTAATAGACGGCTTTTTAAAGTTCATAAAAGCCCTTAAAATGCCATTAAAAATAGTAAATGGGTAGTAAAGTACTTTTAAAAATTGTTTTTCGAGTTTACTTTGGGTTTCATTTTTTTTAATTTTTTTTGGAATTTTCAAAATTAAAAAAAAAATTTTTAGAAAAATTTTGAAAATTAACAAAAAAATTTTTTAGAATTTTAGAAATTTTTTCTACAATTTTAAATAATTTTTAAAAATAATATTCATCAAAATATATTTTTTGTTAATTCAATTTTTCTCAATATTATGCCTTTTTACATACACAGGAAAATTTATTTTATTTTTTTTAAATTTATTTTTAAAAATTTTACACAGGAAAAACATGGCAATTTTTACACATGTTTCGTTCTTTGGACAAAACTTTTTTCTTTAAAAATTAGATTTAAAATTTATTCCCTTCATTTTCTCTCAGTTTTTTCCTTTTTTAGACTATATTTATTATTATTATGAATAATAATTTTTTTATTTTTTACAAAAATTCTCTTAAAAATTCCCTTGGGAGAAACAAAAAAATATGAGTTTGAGACACAGACTTGGAGTTATTCCGAAAAATTTTTTTAAATAATAAACCAAATTCAATATAGTATTAAGATATTTCTAACAGAAAAAAAAATGAAAAAAAAGAATGAAACCGGAGAGGCGGCAAATTCGGCATTTGTTGTGGATTATCGGCAAAAAAGGCAAAAATAAAAGGGAAAGAGAGGGATACCCAACAGAGCTAAGTAATGCCATTCTTCTCTTTTTTATTTGTATTTTCCCAACGGAAAAAATTTTTTTGTTCAAAATCCTATTTTCTGGGTTTTTATTGTTTGCGAGAGAAATATAAGAAAAGCAAAGGACTCTCGTATTTTATGGCTGCAAAAATTTTTTTTTGATTCTTTGTTATTTTGGCCAATGCTTTCAATTTTATTATATAATATTTTTAATTCTAGTATAAGTATTCTGCTTTTTTTATTCAAATAAAAAGCAGAATATTATCCATAAATATTATCCATTTTGGAATTTTACTTGAAATAATTTTTCAGAATATATTCTGAAATATTTTGAAACAAAATCAGAATAAAAAAAGAGTCTAGCAAAAGTTTAGCCACCGAGCAGGATTCGAACCTCCGGCCTCCTTGGAGTTATTGCTAGGCGCTCACCGCTTATAAAGAGCCTTACCACTGAGCTACCGGGAGGGACAACGACTAATCTTTTATCCTTTTAGATCATTTAACCTCCGCCTAAGCTAAGTGAAGAATTAGGTGAATGTTGAATGAATGAATAGGTGAATTGAATGCTAGGTGAATGAAATGCTGGGTGAGTGAAATGCTAGGTGGATCATCCTTACAATAATTGTTAATATGTATAGAAAAATTCTGAAAAATCAGAATATTAATTTCCAAAGAATTATTTTCCTCTCCTTCTAGTGTATTCCAGAATTTTCAAAATGTTTCGAGTTTAATTGAAAATAATGATGATAATTCTTAAAGTATTCCGAAACAAGTTTTTTTACTTCTTTTTTTGCTTCCGTTTACTAATATAAAATAACAGAAAAACAAAACAAATCTTTTATCCACAATTTTTTACTTCCCTTTTTTATTTACACATTTCTAGGCGCTAAATTGCACTAATTATGCTTCATTTGTGTTTATCCAAGTACGAGAAAACGTCAATTTATGGAAGTAAAAAAATTTTTTTTTCTTTTTTTTTCTCGCTTTCTCTCAGATATATTTCCGTTTTCCGGTTTTATGGTTAACTCAAAAATAAATTTTCTCATTTCTATTTTTTAATTTTTGATTTTTCCATTAACTTCAGTTGACGTGACATTGTATTACGTCTGAAAAAAATTTTTTTCTTTAATTTAAAATTTTTTCTAAATTATTTTTTAAATGCTTCTAGTCCCTCTTTTAATTTGTTTGCTTTTTTAACTTCTCCAATTTCAAAAAATAAAAAGTAAAAAAAATTTTTGCCATTATAAAATTTACCCTCTACTATTTTTCCCCTTTACTTCCTTTAAAAAAATGTCCCCTGCTTTCACCCTATTCTCAATACCCGACAAAAAGAAATAAATATATATTTTCTAGCTTTATATACAGGCTAGCTGCCTCTTCCAATTTCCTGGTTCATTCGAAAAATAAAAGAAAAAATGCCGTGGCATTGCACTTATTTTTATATATTAATGGAAAATTATTTGTTTGGAAATGTCTAGTATATATTTTTTGGAAATAAATAATATTATAAAGTCAACAATATTTTGTGCTTTACTTTGGGTCTTGAAGCCTTATACAATACTGAAACCTTAGCTTGCTTTAAAACAAGGGTACTTCTGCCTTATTAGACCTGGTCACGTATACTGATTTTGGTATCCGTATCTGCATATTTACGGCGGATACATACCGCAGACATTTTGATATTATCTGTATCCATATCCGTATCCATGAGCAGGTCTGTGCCTTACAACTATTTTGACCCGTACAACCATTTCAAAGCTATAAACCCCTACAACCTTTTACAAATTGTAAACTTTTTACAAATATTTAAACTTGCAACCTTAAACTTAAATTACAACCCTTTTACTTGCTTGGCAAACATCTTTTAATAAAACTTAGAAAGTAAGCTTGCTAATGAGAAAATACGCCTTCTCTCAATTTAATCCCTCTTTTCTTTCTACTATTTTGTTATTTAAAAAGAAATGTGAAAAAAAAGTTGGAGATGCTTCTAATTTTCCCTTAAACATTGCCTATTAATCCCTCATGTCAACAAAGTGGCAATATTTTATTTTAAACAATTTTTAAAAATCAAAAATCTAATGGTAGATTATCTTACTATTTTTGGTTATATTAATCTTTTGTAATTAAATATTTTTTTAATATTTTATTATTTTATTTTTTAAAATAAGTATTTTATTGCATCCGTTAACTATATATTTGAATATTTATTAGTTTATAACTACAAAGTTTTACAATTTAATTTTAAAATTGTAAAAGATGTTTAATTAATTTTACAATTTATTTTTAACATTTGTAAAATAGGTTTTATTAAATTTCAATTTAATTTTTGATAATTGTAAAAAAAGTTTTTTGGTTTTACAATTTATTTTTAATATTTGTAAAATAAGTTTAATTAATTTACAATTTAATTTCAATAATTGTAAAAAAGTTTTAAAGTTTTACAATTTAATTTTAATACTAATTGCAAAATAAGTTTAATTAAATTTACAATTCAATTCTGATAATTGTAAAAAAAAGTTTCTAAGTTTTACAATTCATTTTTAACATTTGTAAAAAATGTTTCTAGGTTTTTACAATTTATTTTTAATAATTGTAAAATAAGTTTAATTAATTTACAATTTATTTTTAAAATTGTAAAATAAGTTTTATTAAATTTACAATTTATTTTTAATAAGTGTAAAAAAGTTTCTAGGTTTCACAAATTATTTCTTATATTGTAAAATAAGTTTATTTAATTTACAATTTATTTTTAAATTGTAAAATAAGTTTATTTAATTTACAACTAATTTCTTATTATTTACAATTTATTTACATTATTTTACAATCGGTTGTGAAACTTTGTTGCTATTTACAATATTTTACAATTAATTTTTTATTTTATTATTTTAATATTTAATTGCTTAATTTTTAGTATTTTTAAAAATAATTTCTGTATTTGTTAGAATGAATTAACAATATTTATTAAAAAAATATGAGTAGCAATAGTCAACATAAAGTTTTGGCATCTAGCAGTATTTCAATTTCCAAAAATGAAAATTTAATAGAATCGACTACTACCGGAAATGAATTGATGAATGTGCCGGAATGGGCTTGGTGGACGTTCTTTGCCTCTTTAATTTTGGTTTGGCTGAAATTTTAATAAAAAGACTCGATACTTTTAAGGTGCTCTTTTTCCTCCTTCTCGACTGGCTAATTATTCGACGTAATGCTTTCGGTATTGGATCATCCTCTTCTTCCTCCTCTTCCCCATTTTGTCTCCTCTCTTTTAGAAAACAACACAAAAGGAGTGGGGGATTAAACAGTAAATAATTAATTTCTAAAAATTAATTTTAATAATTAATTTAAAACAAGGCTATGCTGGGGGTGCTAATGATTGGCAAGGAGGTGCACAAGGGGGAAATTTGCCCAGTGGTCAAGCAGGTGGACTGTTTGGGCATCACAAACGTAGCACAAATATGGTGCTGTCTGTTTAAAAGAATTTTAATTTTTGTTTGAAAAAAACGGGTATTAACTAGAATTATTTGGATATTTTTTTACAATTTGTATTTAATTTACAATGATTTTTTAGTTATTTTTACAATTATAAATTGAATTTTATTTTTAATATTTTGAAGAATTACAGTCTCAATTTATTTAATGTTTTTTAAGAAAGACATATTTTAACAACTATTATACAGTCAAACCTCGTTTAGGGTGCCCTCTTGAAAACGAAATCTGCCCTCTTGAAGATGTATCTTATAATAAAGGGTCCTTAAATTAAGGTACTTCTTTAGGTAATTTCCCCCGCCAGTGGCCAATTAAATTCTAAAAAATTAAATTTTAAAAACGAACTTAAATTAAATTAAAGAACTAGGTGCTCTTATATCGAAGTTAGACTGTATTATGAAACATTTAATTTACTAATATCGACTGTATCGTTGTGAAGGTGTATACAACACAGAGCGATAGCTCCTAAAACATTTAAAAATTATTGAAAGAAAAATTTTTGTTCACCGCTGCATTCCACGGGGACCACCAGGACCGTCATTTGTTATGAATATATGACAGCCAGTTTCACGTACCCCATTTGCATTTTCTATTCTACAATTGTAAAAACCTCCGTCTTCACGTTGTGCATTGAAAAGTGCTAACTTTAAAGAACTTTTATTTAATTAAGGAATTTTAAGGAAAGTAAAATTAAACTTTTTTACAAATTGTAAAATGGTTTTACAATTAAATAAACTTGATATATTTTGCATTTATAAAATTGTAAAAACAAAAGAAACTTAATTTACAAATTGTAAAAGGGTTGGAAAAAGTTTTCAAAAAAGTTGTAATAATTTGTAAAAAAAATTACAAATTGTAAAAGGTTTTAATTAAAGGTTTTAATTCAAGTTTTATTAAAATTTACAAATTGTAAATTTCAAGTTTTACAATTTGAAAAATTAAATAGATAGGATTGATACATTTTGTATTTTATTTACAAATTGTAAAAAGTTGTAATTTAATTTTTATTAAAATTTTCTACTTGAGCATATGCAGAATCAGCTGTAATAACAATTTTTGTCGAATCTGGATCTGATATAATAGGTTGTTGTCCTTTATACCTTTGAATATATTTTTTATTTTTATTTTCCATCAAAAATAAATATTTTTACCATTGAACTAACGGTTCAGGACATCCTTTATATCCAATTCGCAAAACAAAATTGTCCCCATTTAAATATGTTTGGTCTTCTAATCGTCCAACAAATTCCGGTATTTCATATTTTTCTGCTATAATAATATTTTTTGAAAATTTCTAATAAATTTTCTTTGCCTTTGTAATAACGCCGAGTACCACTACTTCCCCCAAATATAGTCAAATCGCTTATAGGTATTGCACGAACGCGTGGTGGAAGCTTAAAAATATTTCTTAATTATTAAAAATAATACCACAACATAATTTTTATCTCCCATAGAATAGGCCTTTTTTGCTATTACTTTTTTCTCTCCAATGCATGGTGCGAGAGAAGAACGTTCTAAAATTGGAATATTTATTTTTAATTGTAAACTTAAGCTTTTATTAATTAAAAAATTTTTTAGAGGGCAAAATAAACTTTTTACAAATTGTAGAATTTTATTTTAAAAATTGTAAAAAAAGTTGTAATAATTTGTAAAAAAATTACAAATTGTAAAGAAGGTTTTAACTAGTATTTTACAATTTGTAATCTTGCTTAGTAAATAAAATAAACTTTTTACAAATTGTAAAAAGTTTTACTTTAAGTTTTATTTAAATTTACAAATTGATTAATTGTAATTTTTTACAATTTGTAAAATTACTTGCAGTATTAAATTAAATTATAAAAACTTGAAGCATTAAAAATTTAAACTTTTTAACCTTTAATAGCAATAATCTTTGTTCCTGGCGATGGAAGAGGATTGTGGGGGAAAATAAAGGACATTTTTTAAAATAAATTTTGAGAGATTCCAGAAGTGTTTTCAAACAAATTTTTATTTTTAGAAAAGATTAATTTAAGTTAGCAAACTTAAAACCAGCTCTACCTTCCAACAATCGATTTGATGAATTGGCTTATATTTATTTTAAAAATAATGTTTTGTCTTTACTTTTGTTTAAAAACGGAAGCAAAGCATAGCTTTCGATCAAAAGTTTTATTTTTTTAACCAATTTACTTTTCTTTAGAAAATATTTATTTTTATTAGAAAAATGAATTAAATTGGGACAATAGGTACTTATATACTTGTAATTTCAAGTTTTATTTTTGTAAAATTGTAATTTAAATTGTAAAAGTTGTAAGCTGAAGCAGCTTTTATTTTTGTTTGATTTAAGACTGTTAAAATTAATTTCTCCTCCTACTTTTATTATTTTCAAACAATAATTTAAACAATAAATTTAAATTATCTTTGCAAAAATCAAAAAATTATTTTTTTATTAAACAATTGGCCCAATTTATTTAATAATTAGACCAATTAAAAATTTTATTTTTTAAATAATTTAATTTTTTAAATAATTTATTTTCTTTTGAACCTACACATTTTTTATTATTTTTATTATCAATTTATTTTTATTTGACGTAAGGCTGTCAATAAATATTAATTTCTCTCCCAATTCTTTTATTTTTTACAAAAAAATTTTTTAATTTTTAATTATTAAAATTTACAAATTGTAAATTTCAAGTTTTACAATTTGTAGAATAAAATTGGTAGGATTGGTATATTTTGTATTTTATTTACAAATTGTAAAAAGTTGTAATTTAATTTTTATTGAAATTTGCAATTTGTAATCTTACTTGAGCATATGCAGAATCAGCTGTAATAACAATTTTTGTGGAATCTGGATCAGATATAATAGGTTGTTGTCCTTTATACCTTTTAAAGATTTTTTATTTTGATTTTCCGTCAAAAATAAATATTTTTACCATTGGACTAACGGTTCAGGACATCCTTTATATCCAATTCGCAAAACAAAATTGTCCCCATTTAAATATGTTTGGTCTTCTAATCGTCCAACAAATTCAGGTATTTCATATTTTTCTGCTATAATAATATTTTTTTTAATTTTTAATAAATTTTGTTTGCCTTTGTAATAACGCCGTGTACCACTACTTCCCCCAAATATGGTCAAATCGCTTATAGGTATTGCACGAATGCGTGGTGGAAGCTTAAAAATATTTCTTAAAAGATTAAAAAATGATTACCACAACATAATTTTTATCTTCTATAGAATAAGCCTTTTTTGCTATTACTTTTTTCTCTCCAATGCATGGTGCGAGAGAAGAACGTTCTAAAACTTGGAATATTTATTTTTAATTGTAAATTTATGTTTTTATTAATTAAAAAATTTTTAGTAGGTAAAATAAACTTTTTACAAATTGTAAAAAGTTTATTAAAAGAATTGTAAAAAAAGTTGTAATAATTTGTGGAAAATTACAAATTGTAGAAAAAGTTTTAACTTGTATATTACAATTTGTAATTTTGCTTAGCAAATAAAATAAACTTTTTACAAATTGTAACAATTTACAAATAAACTTTTTACAAATTGTAGACTTTTATTTTAGAAATTGTAAAAAAAGTTGTAATAATTTGTAAAAAAATTACAAATTGTAAAAAAGTTTTAATTTGCATTTTACAATTTGTAATCCTGCTTAGCAGATTAAATAAACTTTTTACAAATTGTAAAAAGTTTTACTCTAAGTTTTATTAAAATTTACAAACTGATTACAAATTGTACTTTTTACAATTTGTAAATTTATTAGAGTAAATTATAAAAACTTGAAGCATTAAAACTTGAAACTTTTTAACCTTTAATTTCAATAATCTTTGTTCCAGGCGATGGAAGAGGATCGTGGGGGAAAATAAACAACATTTTTTAAATAAAATTTGAGAGAATTTCAGAAGTGTTTTCAAAAAAATTTTATTTTTAGAAAAGATTAATTTAAGTTAGCAAACTTAAAACCAGCTCTACCTTCCAAACAATCGATTTGATGAATTGGCTTATATTTGTTTTAAAAATAATGTTTTGTCTTTACTTTTGTTTAAAAACGGAAGCAAATCATAGCTTTCGATCAAAAGTTTTATTTTTTTAACCAATTACTTTTGCTTTAGAAAATATTTATTATTTTTATGAAAAACGAATTAAGTTGGACAAATAATTATATTATACATAATTGTAATTTCAAGTTTTATTTTTGTAAAATTGTAATTTAAATTGTAAAAATTGTAAAATGAAGCAGCTTTTATTTTTGACGACCTAAGACTGTTAATATTAATTTCTCCCTCTTCTTTCATCATTTTTAAACAATAATTTAGACAATAAATTTAACTTTGCAGAAACCAAAAATTATTTTTATTAAACAATTGGCCCAATTTATTTAATAATTAGACCAATTTAAAAAATAATTAAAAATTTAATTTTATTAAAATAATTTATTTTCTTTTGAACCTGAACATTTTAATATTATTTTTATTATCAATTTATTTTTATTTGACGTAAGACTGTCAATATTAATTTCTCTCCCAATTCTTTTATTTTTAAACAAAAAAATTTTTTAATTAAAAAAACAAAAATAATATACTTTGTTCTTTATTCAAAAATTTTTTTAATCAATAAATCACTCATAATTACAACCATCTGTATAAAAAAGCTTTTTCTCAATTATTGCGCCCCACTCTAGCTGCGCACAATATTGGGAGAAGAAAAGCACTTTACACAGTCACACACACAAACAAATTTTTACAATAAAAGCGCGAATGAGAAGGATATAAATATATATTTTTATTTATTTATTTTTGGAGAAAGAAATTCTGATCAGACATCCCTCAATTGTTCTGTAAATTGTAAAGTTTTTGAAAAATTGTAAAAAAAAGTTTATTTATACTGCAAAGCTTATTTTAATAAATTGAAAAAATAAGTTGTACAGCAAGTTGTGTTTTTACAATATTAAAGCTTGAATTGTAAAAACAATAGTATTTGTAATTCCATAATTAAACTTTA